TACATCATCAGCTCTCAGCCAAAAGCATCAAATAGCTCTTCACAAGCATGTAAAAGATAAGATGTTTTCTAATAAGATCTCTAGTATTTATTTTGGCATGTTTTAGAATGTGAGATCTTTTTTCTTAATGATCAAACAATTCAGGTGAGAATAGGCAACGAAATCTCAGAGACAGCAAGTATTTTGAATGGCACGTCTCAAGGCTCAGTATTTAGTCCTGTGTTACAGTATTTAATGTGATGATAAATGATATATTTAAAACTGTTAGTGCAGGGTTCGGAAAACAGACGATGGAGCCATCTGCATAAAGGCAATTCACCTTGGAGAGACCCATGAGGAAAACGCATTAGACTTATTAGATTTAAGCATGTTTATTGATTGAGCATGTTTGGCGCCCTAGGCCCGGGCGGGATGCTGTTGAGCACGGCGCTTGCTCGCGTGCATGATCCCCCCGGGGCCTAGGCACTGGTGACGGCAGAGGCAGTAGGCAAGCACGCTTCATGAGAGAAGGAGGAGGTGGGGCGGCGGCGGCTTGCAGACTTCAGAAGACTGGGAAGTGGGCGTCTCCGGCTTTTAACTTGCTGTCCTGGTGGTTATTGGTTGACTGGGTGTGGGCGTTGCTGGTATTGATGAGTCGAGGAAGAACAGCCTGTGGCCTGGCAGCAGCAGCCGGGTCTACCACGGTGAACTTTCGCGAAAGCTCCATAAATATTGAATTTTTAATTAGGAAAACTCAGGGGGCCTTAGGTCAAATAGAACACTGGGCAAATACATGGGGGTTTAAGATTTCCATACCAAAAAGTAATTATATGATGTTCTAATAAACATTTGCTTTACTTCCCAGGTAAAAAAAAGTGATTATCTGCTTTCTCCAGACTACGTCCCTTCTATCTTCAATCATGTCTTATCACCAATGAAGAGAAGAGGACTGCAGCAACTGGATAATTTTAATAGAAGGCAAGCTGCTAAAAGAAGACTGGAACAACAATCAACTAAACCAGATGACATGGCCACTCTTGAACAAGACTCACCTCAACCTGATGCAACTCCACTTGTCTTCACTGATGCAGACACAGGCCACAGAGACCATACTTATTATTAATTGGATGCAGGTCACTGTGGTGGTGGTGGTGGTGGTGATAATAATGATAATGATAAAAGTAGAAATGAAAACAATTCTCTGGAGTTGGAGGTGAATGCTTTACGGGCGGAGAATATGTTTCTCAAAGAGAAGATTTCAAAAATGGAACTGAACGTATCATCTCTAAAAGACAATAACAAAAAGGTTCTCATGCTGACAGGAGTGCAAACCTTTTCTATTCTGATGACACTTTTCAATGTATTTCCCCCTCATCTCAAAATTAAGTCTAGCCTCTCATTACTTCAACAGTTCATGCTTACACTAATGAAGTTGAGAATTAATTTTTGCTTTGACTTTTTGGGGTTTCATTTTGGGATTGATTCACGTAGCGTCTCTAAATTATTTAAAAATTGTATCAATGTTTTTGGTTTTTGGCAGATTGGTTCCAAGTCTCTTAATTTGGCCTGAGAGAGAAGTTTTAAGAACAACCCTCAGGGTATATCAGGGTATTGCAGATTTGGTGGACTCGCAACACAATCTAGGCCTTTATAAAACAAGCCAGGAGCAAAGTAAGGGTCACTAATGTTCAACCGGTTGAGTTTGGCAATATGCCGTGCAATGTCATTAAATGATGCTGTAAACTCAGGAAGTAAAATTTTTCTACCGCTGTCGTTCATTGTTTTTAGCTTGGCGCCCATGGCTTGGCGCCCATGGCTTGACGCCGCTGTTTATGCCTGCCGTCATGGCGTTGTCAACAACATTGGTGACGTGGGGTCCGGAGCTCTATAAAAACCAGAGGTTTTTATGGTCACTCTCTGGTCACTCTCTGGGGACTCTGTGTCTGTGCCGTGTGCTGGGCCCCGGGCAGCACAGAGCGGGACAGAAACAGACTTAATAAGCGGGTCAGGAGGGCCAGCTCCACTCTGGGCTGCTCCCTGGACTCTGTGGAGGAGGTGAGGGACAGGAGGGTGCTAGTCAAAGCCACCTCCATCATGAACAACACCTCCCACCCACTGCACAGGACTGTAGAGGAGCTGAGGAGCTCCTTCAGTGGAAGACTGAGACACCCTCAGTGTAGGAAGGAGCGCTACCGCAGGGCCTTTATCCCCACTGCTGTCAGACTGTACAATAAGTCACTTTAAATGATCACTGTGTGAAAACCGGCACTACTATTGACACGGTTTCCAATTGACACTTGTCACTTTTGTTGTACATAATTATTGTCACTTTATTGTACATATATCCTGCATGTAACATGTTTGCACATTTCCTCCTTTTGCACAATCTGAGTGTCTCTATCCATGCCAAATGTGACATGTACATTTCTCCTCTGTGAGATAAATAAAGCACATCTTATCTTATCTTATCTTATCTCTCTGAGAGACCGGGTTGTCTTCAATTCAATTCCAATGATTTTTGTACAGCCCTAAATCCTTTTGCCAACACAGATCTAACACTTCAAACACAGGAAATGCAACAATAAATACAGAGCAATTGGTCCATAAGGAATGACCAATGTCCATGAATGTAGTTAAATGTCCTGGTTCGGATAATCACCAGTGTCCTTAGACCCTTCTACATCAACAAGGAACAAAAAAACAAAACAAAAGTAGCCTATGGAAACAGGATGTTGGACATTCGTGATGTTGGGACCTGTATGGACTTCTGCCTGAGGGAAGCAGGTGGAGCAGGTGAAGAGGAGGGGTGTTCCAAACTATCCTTAGGCAGTGTCTGGGGTAGATGAGATCTCTGGAACAATCCACCCTAAAAGTCAGCTTAACAAAAAGCACATTAAAAAGTACTGTATACATATTTATCACAGCAGAGATCAGCAATGGATTGTTTCTTTCATGTACAACAGCCGGGACGCATATACATACATAGTCCACAAGTGCGCGGGCCCTTTGACACCTCCTGAAAATCTGGCGCCCAGAGCTGAATAGTGATCACCACAAGGAGAGAAAAGGCAGCCGACTGCATTGGGAAAACAAACAATAATCCTTTCTGGTTCTCGAGCAGCATCGCTGTCAAATGGATAATGAGACAGGAGCGGTCTGAGCCTGCATGTATACTGAGACAAGAAAGGTCTGAGCCTGCATGTATACTGAGACAGGAGAGGTCTGAGCCTGCATGTATACTAAGACAAGAGAGGTCTGAGTCTGCATGTATACTGAGACAAGAAAGGTCTGAGCCTGCATGTATACTGAGACAGGAGAGGTCTGAGCCTGCATGTATACTAAGACAAGAAAGGTCTGAGCCTGCATGTATACTGAGACAGGAGAGGTCTGAGCCTGCATGTATACTAAGACAAGAGAGGTCTGAGTCTGCATGTATACTGAGACAAGAAAGGTCTGAGCCTGCATGTATACTGAGACAGGAGAGGTCTGAGCCTGCATGTATACTAAGACAAGAAAGGTCTGAGCCTGCATGTATACTGAGACAGGAGAGGTCTGAGCCTGCATGTATACTAAGACAAGAGAGGTCTGAGTCTGCATGTATACTGAGACAAGAGAGGTCTGAGTCTGCACATATACTGAGATAAGAGTATATTAATTTCTGGATTATTATATAATTCCGGATTCCTGGTCAAATGAGAATGTCCTCTGTGTCTAAACACTGGACATTGGTTTAATAACCAAAACTCTGCAAAGAAGTGTAAGAAGATCACTTGTCCCATTGCTTCAAATTTGAGAGAACCACTGTAGATTGGAATGGGCCAAACTTAAACATTTCATTCCTAATGGGCTGCCTTCAGATTCAGAATCAAATGACTACAAAACAGTATTCAGAGAAATCCCTTGGCCTCCAGCTGCAGCCAATATTTTTGTTAGAATACTTTAATAGTTCAGCCTTGATAGAACCAGGGCCAAGAGGGGGTTTAGAAGGACCTGGCATCGATCACACAGGTCCAGTTGAGTAGAGTAGAGCCGAGAAGAGTAGCGCCAAATAGGGCTTGTGGAAACGATCCTTATGAGGATGGGAGCAACAGGCATAAGTGTAGCTCAAGAAAACAATCTAAAAAATATTTCAGATTTTTTCAAATAAAGAAAAAGACAATGTTCATCGGTTTTTACATTGGTTTATACATATTTGCAAAAGTCTAGCTGACAGTTTATTTGACAAACACAACACAAACACAAATGTTGCAAGATGCTTTATTCCTATAACATATTTACAGTAAGCTCTCTTCTGCCTCCTCTTTCACAGCCGCTGTGTTTGTCTGCACGGACTCAGACCATGGAGCGTATCATAGGAGTGAACTGACCGAGTGCCTTAATGTGAAAGAAGCCGATTGAAACATAAGCAAGGTGTAGCCAATATCCTTACGTGGGCATTTCTTCCGCTTGCACCGTAACAGGGGTCGACGTGTTGCTAGATGTTGCTAAGGCAAGCTGGAGTTTCACCAGGAATGAAGGCATCTGATTGGTCAATCCTTGAATGGCTCATATCTGGATTTACAAATACAATATAAAAACGGCAGGATTGCAGAAAGCACTAAACCACAGATTTTTAAGCCCAAAACTGTGTGACACAAACAATTACTGAGCTAGAGGTGTTTACGTCAAGCCAGAGCGAGATGCAGCAACATTTTGTCCTAGAGTATTTCCCAATTGGGCTCTATTATCAGCTAGCGGTTTAGCATTGTCCATCTGCGTACATCTATGGCTCAGACCGAAGAGGTATAAATGCAGTTTCTCCCTGAGCTTTTACAGTAACCAGTGTAATGGCGAACGGGCACACACTAAACTCAAGAGGCTGAGTTCCCAGGACGAAAGGAACGCAGAATTTCTCACAGTAACTGAAAACCGGTAAACCTCACAGTGATATTGGCGAAGCTAAGAATGTATGAGAGAGGAACGAACACTTGCGTTCTAAGACTAACAAGATGCATGCTTCATAGTAAAGAAGAAAAGAGGCATTAATTGGAAAAGACGAGTGGTTCGTGATCGTTGTTGACAGTTCCTGGAGGGTCTTCGATCCCGTCCATGTCCACGTTAATGTTGGAGAAGCTGTGTGGCACGGCAGCTCCGGCTCTACACAGACAAGAGACATTCATGGTTATGTACAATACTGGTTTTATATTTTAGAATGGCTATTTTTATACTTTTGGCACAATATACAAAAAGTAGGTGGTTACCGTAATTCTCGGTTCTCAGCTGTCTAGGCGCACCAGTTTATTCGCTGCACCAATTACATTTTAAAAGAATATAAACTTTGTACTTAAATAGAAGACAACTAGACAATGCAGGTCACCGGTTCTCATGTTGTAAGGTGCACGTAACCAAAACTGCTAGAGTCTCACAAACAGCACCAAAAAGTGAATATTACACTTCCTATGGTAATAGAAGACAAAGATACAGCAGAATAAAAATAAATGTGTAAACTTGTATCACCTCTGTCTCTTTAAAGCATGAGAAAACAGCCTCTAGGGGTAGATTCAATCATCTTACAAGTAAAAGAGCGACCCAGAATGATCCTGATATAAGCGTGAGTGTAGCTATAAACAACTCCAGATCCGACGCTGATGAGGGCAATTGATGGTTGAAAAGTCAAAACAGAGAATTTTGCGTTTGGTATGATATATAAATACATAATCAATGGCTTCATGTGTTTTTTATCATTGCATTTCTTGTGTTTGAACAGTTTGATTTTCTGATCTGTGATGGTGCATTCTACGGTTTTGATAAGGAGGAATTGTTAATCAAGGAGTGGTAGATTTTTTGTTGGGAGAGTCGAGGGAAAGACGCATACTTGGATTAGACTGGATAAGAACAAAGCATCTGTATTGTTAAGAAAACGCAAATGAAACGATATAAATCAATTAAGGCACTCAAACTGAAAATAGTTTATTTCAAAGCTGGCATAAGAAACACAATTTTGCTGTATGGCACGTGCACACTATCAGACGCACAGACGGCTGCAATTAACAATTACATGCGTCAAGAAAAGGTAGGCTATGTAAAAAAAATGTCCCGTATAAATTTTTTAAAGCTATGGAATTTTTTTTAACTAAATAGTGCAACACTGACACTAACAGAAGTGGAAAAGTTTGCAATCATATAAGAACTTTTATATTTTTCCAAAAGTGGACCTTCTCTCAGTGACTTACTGATGTATTGTTCAAGCAGAGTAGAAACATCGGATTCATCAGGTCACTATGTGCATTCATAAATGCCAAATGTCTTCAATCTACGCAAGGCTGAAAAAGAGCTCTGAGGCCGCGACAGCAGAGGCATCCCTTGCCATTAGGCAAGGCAGGCAGCTGCCTGGGGCCCCCAAACCGGCAGGGGGCCCCTGAGGGCCGACTGATTTGACACAAGCGGTCGTACAGGCTACAACGGCTACCTGCAGTGACGAGTTGGCGGTTAAAAACAAAAAGTTCTTCATGAACAGTTAAAAAGCCTGCCTGGAAACAAATTGGTGTAGTGTGTCATAGTGGTATAATGGTGAAGTTGCAGTGCTTGCGCCACAATGACCCGAGTTTTAATCTGAGTGAGACCTCTGTTATGGATAAAACTATATATATTATATTCTATGACAGATTGCTCAAGAAAGGTAAAAGGTAAAAACAAGCTGCTTTTTGTAGATTAAAGCTAAGAGCCTAATCTTTCATTTCAGGGCCAAATGAAAGATTGGATTTTGTAGGTTTACAAAATCTGGTTATGTGGTCGGTATCGGGGCCCCCAAGGACTCTGTTGCCTGGGGCCCCGGGGTACCCTTGGAACGCCACTGCGCGACAGATGTGGACCGGACAGAGCTTCATAAGCTTGTCCACCTCCAACGGCATGGAGCGGGTTTGGGCTGCAAGGAGCGCAGGACAGACGCAACATCTTGAATCGGCCGCACACGGCGCACCCCAAGTTCCGACGTCTATGTTTAGGGCTGTACAAGACTACATTTCATTGAATATAATTCTTGTTCTTCAAATCTTACCTTACGTTGTTTCCGATGTCCTGCAGCGCTCCTCCCAGTCGGTTCACGAACATGACCATGCTGTCTGAAATGAGACACAAGATTTACAGCACGGTGGCTGAGTAGATAACGCTCTCACTTCTCAGCAAGAAAGTCCGGGGTTTGAAATCCCAGTCGAAACAGGGCCTTTCTGAGTGGAGTTTGCATGTTCTCCCCGTGCTTGTGTAGGTTTCCACCAGATGCTCCGGGTTAGCCCCTACCACTAAAAAGTGTAAAATAGGTATACTCCTCCTGTATGGGAACCTCACTCCCATCTCTGTGTGGAGTGAGAGGCGATTTGTCGCAACAATTGTAAAAGCGTTTTGTAACTCTGGTATGTGAAAGGTCCCCCCTGGACTGCCACCTTAACGTGGTGGGGGAGTTTGAGTACTCGGATGATCCTGGGAGCTATGCTGTCTGGGGCTTCATGCCCCTGGTAGGGCCTCCCATGGCAGACAGGTCTCGGGTGACGAGTCAGACAAAGAGCAGTCCAGAAGACACCATGGACAGCACTCAAAAGAAATCAGTGACGTCGCCCGGCATGGCGCAGCCGGGGCCCCACCCTGGAGCCAGGCCTGGGGTCGGGGCTCGTAGGCGAGCGCCTGGTGGCCGGGCCTTAGCCCACGGGGCCCGGCCGGGCTCAGCCCGAATGGACGACGTGGGCAGTCCCTCCTGTGGGCCCACCACCCGCAGAGGGGTCCGTGGTGGCGAAACGGTGCAGAGAGGACTGGGCAGCAGTCGAAGGCGGAGACCTCGACGACCCAGTCCGCACACACAACAGCTGGCTCTTGGGACGTGGAACGTCACCTCACTGGGGGGGAAGGAGCCCGAGCTCGTGGGGGAGGTTGAGCGATACCGACTAGAGATAGTCGGCCTCACCTCCACACACAGCTTGGGCTCTGGAACCCAACTCCTTGAGAGGGGTTGGACGCTCCACTTTTCTGGTGTTTCCCGCGGGGAGAGGCGGCGAGCTGGGGTGGCCATTCTCATTGCCCCCCATCTCAGCCGCCACGTGTTGGAGTTCTGCCCGGTGAATGAGAGGGTCGCGTCCCTCCGCCTCCGGGTGGGGGATAAGTCTCTCACTGTTGTGACGGCCTACGGGCCTAACAGCAGTGCAGAGTACCCGGCCTTCTTGGAGTCCTTGGGAGGGGTACTGGACGGTGCACCGCCCGGGGACTCCGTTATTCTCCTGGGGGACTTCAACGCCCATGTGGGAAACGCCAGTGACACTTGGAGAGGGGTGATCGGGAAGAGCGGCCCCCCTGATCTGAACCCGAGCGGTGTTCAGTTGTTGGACTTCTGTGCCAGTCACAGTTTGTCCATCACGAACACCATGTTCGAGCACAAGGGTGTCCACCAGTGCACGTGGCACCAGGACACCCTAGGCCGGAGGTCGATGATCGACTTTGTTGTCGTATCATCTGACCTTCGACCGCGTGTCTCGGACACTCGGGTAAAGAGAGGGGCGGAGCTGTCAACCGATCATCACCTGGTCGTGAGTTGGATCCGCTGGCAGGGGAAGAAGCCGGTCAGACCTGGCAGACCCAAGCGTATAGTGAGGGTCTGCTGGGAACGTCTCGCTGAGCCCCCTGTCAGACGGACTTTCAACTCACACCTCCGGGAGAGTTTCTCCCAGGTCCCGGTGGAGGAGGGGGACATGGAGTCCGAGTGGACCATGTTCTCTGCCTCAATCGCCGATGCGGCGGCTCATAGCTGTGGTCGCAAGGTCTCTGGTGCTGGTCCCGGCGGCAACCCCCGAACCCGGTGGTGGACACCGGCAGTAAGGGATGCTGTCAGGCTGAAGAAGGAGTCCTATCGAGCCATGATGGTTCGGGGGACTCCTGAGGCAGCTGTCCAGTACCGGCAGGCCAAGTGTGCCGCGGCCCGGGCTGTTGCAGAGGCAAAAACCCGGGACTGGGAGGAGTTCGGAGAGTCCATGGAGCATGACTATCGGTCGGCCTCAAAGAAATTCTGGCAAACCGTCCGGCGCCTCAGGAGGGGGAAGCAGTTCTTTGCCAACACCATGTACGGTGCGGGTGGAGAGCTGCTGACCTCGACTGGGGATATTGTCGGGCGGTGGAAGGAATACTTTGAGGTTCTCCTCAATCCCCCCGTCACGTCCTCTGTTTCAGAGGCAGAGGCTGAGGATGTTGGGGCGGATACATCCATCTCCCTGGCTGAGGTCACCAAGGTGGTTGGTAGCCTCCATGGTGGCAAGGCTCCGGGTGTGGATGAGATCCGCCCTGATTATCTAAAGTCTCTGGATGTTGTAGGACTGTCTTGGCTGACACGTCTCTGCAACATCGCGTGGCGATCGGGGGCGGTGCCAATGGAGTGGCAGACCGGGGTGGTGGTCCCTCTCTACAAGAAGGGGGACCGGAGGGTGTGTTCCAATTATCGTGGGATCACACTCCTCAGCCTCCCCGGTAAGGTCTACTCCAAGGTACTGGAGAGGAGGCTACGGCCGATGGTCGAATCTCGGATCCAGGAGGAGCAGTGTGGTTTTCGTCCCGGTCGCGGAACACTGGACCAGCTCTATACTCTCCATCGGATACTCGAGGGTTCATGGGAGTTCGCCCAACCTGTCCACATGTGCTTTGTGGATTTGGAGAAGGCGTTCGACTGTGTTCCCCGGGGTGTCCTTTGGGGGGTTCTCCGGGAGTACGGGGTCGGGGGTCCTCTGCTGAGGGCCATCCGGTCCCTGTATGACCGGAGCCAGAGCTGTGTTCGCATTGCCGGCAGTAAGTCAGACCTGTTCCCGGTGAATGTTGGCCTCCGACAGGGCTGCCCTTTGTCACCGGTTCTGTTCACTGTATTTATGGACAGAATATCTAGGCGCAGCCAGGGGTCGGAGGGGGTCCGGTTCGGGGACCACAGGATTTCATCTCTGCTGTTTGCGGACGATGTTGTCCTGTTGGCTCCAACGAACCAGGACCTGCAGCATGCACTGGGACGGTTTGCAGCCGAGTGTGAAGCGGCTGGGATGAGAATCAGCACCTCCAAATCTGAGGCCATGGTGCTCGACCGGAAAAAGGTGCCCTGCCCTCTTCAGGTGGGTGGAGAGGTCCTTCCTCAAGTGGAGGAGTTCAAGTATCTCGGGGTCTTGTTCACGAGTGAGGGAAGAATGGAGCGTGAGATTGACAGGCGGATCGGTGCAGCGTGCGCAGTGATGCGGTCGCTGTATCGGACTGTTGTGGTAAAGAAGGAGCTGAGCCGAAAGGCAAAGCTCTCGATTTACCGGTCAATCTTCGTTCCCTCCCTCACCTATGGTCATGAGCTTTGGGTAATGACCGAAAGAACGAGATCGCGGATACAAGCGGTCGAAATGAGCTTCCTCCGCAGAGTGGCTGGGCGCTCCCTTAGAGATAGGGTGAGGAGCTCAGTCACACGGGAGGAGCTCGGAGTAGAGCCGCTGCTTCTCCACGTCGAGAGGAACCAGTTGAGGTGGCTCGGGCATCTGTTCCGGATGCCTCCTGGACGCCTCCCTGTGGAGGTGTTCCGGGCACGTCCCACCGGGAGGAGGCCCCGCGGAAGACCTAGGACACGCTGGAGGGACTATGTCTCTCAGCTGGCCTGGGAACGCCTTGGGGTCCCCCCGGACGAGCTGGAGGAAGTGTGTGTGGATAGGGAAGTCTGGGCGTCTCTGCTTAGACTGCTGCCCCCGCGACCCGGCAACGGATAAAGCGGAAGAAAATGGATGGATGGATGGATGGTATGTGAAAGGTGCTATATAATTAAATTGTATTACTTGCTTGTGACTCGTCAGTATAATCTTAAAAACACTAGCTCTGAGTGGAGGTGTTTAGCAGTTTTATATTTGAAAAACACTATAAAATGAAGCCATTGCATGAAAGGGGTCTTTTGTTTTTGAAAGCCCTATATTGCCCAGCTCTACTCTACTCTGATCGGCTCTAATCTACTTTGCTTGACTACTTTGCTTGACTCCGAGTCAGCTGTACTGTAGCTGAGGTTTAGGTAGCGGTTGTTTGTCTGGTCTCGGAGTCTGTTGTGCGGGCCCGGATCCGTACTAGCTTAGCCTAGCCTAGCTTAGCCTAGCCTAGCCGCTAACTCGCACTCCTATGGCGGCTGCTGTCTCTCCCTCAATCCTTTACTGCTCGAGTTGCCATATGGCGAGTCTAAACCCTGGATCCTTCTCTGAGGGTAGTGATAGATGTGTGAAGTGTAGTGTAGTCGTAGCTCTGGAATCCAGGGTCAGTGAGTTAGAGCTGCGTCTCCGAGCACTGGAGTCTCGAGCTAGCGCTAGCATTAGCTACAGCCAGGCCGTATCCTCAGGGACAGCGGAGCGCAGCTTTAGGGAAAGGCAGAGGAGAACTAGCGAGCCTAGCCTCCCAGCCCGTCCTCCGCAGCTGGGACAAGACCAGGATAGTGATGGCTTTGTGACTGTTCGGAGAGGGCGACGTGTTGTTGGTAGTTTCCCCATTGGGCCTCCTCCTGTTAGCATTTACAATCGCTGGGACGCTCTGTCCGGCTGCGCCCCCGCGCGGCCGGGCGGGGAAGAAGGCCCCACTGAGAGAGCCGCTGAGAGAGCTGCTGAGAGAGCCGATGGAGTCGCTGATGCGCTGGTAATTGGCTCCTCTATTGTTAGAGGTGTTAAGATCCCAGGAGCCACTGTTCGGTGCTTCCCTGGGGCCAGGCTTGGTGATATTGAAGGGAATCTGAGGCTCATGATGACCCACAAGCAGCGTTTCCGTCGAATTGTTATTCACGCGGGTGGTAATGACGTTCGGCGGAAACAGTCCGAGGTGTTGAAGCTGCAAGTCGCCGCCGTGTGCAAGCTGGCTAGCACAATGGCCGACACTGTCATCTTCTCTGGGCCCCTACCTAGCACTAGCAGTGCAGAAGCATTCAGCAGACACTCGGCTTTCAACCGCTGGCTGTCTGGCTGGTGCCCTCGAAGTGGTGTTGTTCATGTTGACAATTGGAGTGCCTTTTGGGGAAAGCCCGGTCTCATCCGCTCGGATGATATCCACCCAACGTTGGCGGGTACATCCCTTTTGGCTAAGAATTTGGCCCTGGCTCTAAACTGTTCTGCTCGGCTCAAATGACGATGCAGAACTGAGGCCCGGGTGCAGAGCTGCTCTGCCACAACCTCTGAGCCCCCATCTGTTCAGTTACTAGCCTCAGAAGCTAGTCAGATTGAAACTGTGTGTGCATGTGTGTGTGTGCCTGTGTGTGCTCAGTTACTAGCCTCAGAACCTAGTCAGATTGAAACTGTGTGTGTTCCCCGCTTGAAGTCTAAAGCACTATATGCGAGGAAATCTGACCTAGGTGTCAGACACAGTAACTTAATAAAAGTTCAGACAGACAGAAATAGTTCTAACAGTAGGGTTGTTAAATGTGGTTTAATGAACGTCAGATCAATCTCGTCTAAATCGCTTCTCATAAACGAACTTATTATAGACAAGGGCTTGGATCTGTTAGCGCTCTCGGAGACTTGGCTCCAACAGGACGAGTACGTTAGATTGAATGAGTGCACTCCTCCGACGCATGTTAACTACCAGAAAGCCAGAGCTACAGGTCGCGGCGGTGGTGTTGCGATTATATCACACACCAACTTGGTTCTTAGTCCCAAAACCAACAACGCTTTTCACTCGTTTGAAAACTTAACACTTTCAATCACCTGTCCTGGGTGGAGAAAACAAAAAGCAGTACTATTTATAGTTTTATACCGACCTCCTGGTCCTTACAGCGAGTTCCTAACAGAATTCTCTGACTTCATTTCAAACCTAGTTTTGGAATGGGAAAGCATAGTTATAGCTGGAGACTTCAATATACATGTGGACGACAGCACTGACAGCTTAAACAAAGCTTTCAGCGCCGTACTAGATGGTGTTGGTTTTACTCAGAATGTCGAGGAACCTACTCACATTCATAACCACACCTTGGACCTTGTCCTGACCTACGGCTGTGATGTCTCCAATGTTGACATCCAGCGTCAAAGCTCGTTGCTGTCTGACCATTTCTTGATCACGTTTGATCTCGCTTTGGAGGACTTTCCTGTCCCGCAAGATAAAACCATAATGAAAAGAACCTTAAATGATAAATCTATCACAAGGTTCAAAGAACTAATACAGCCTATGTTGAATACTGCTGCAGGTGAACCTGTTCACAGCAGCTGCAGTCCCTCAGTCATCGACCAAACGGTGGGCAACACTATGGAGTCTTTAAAATCTGCATTAAATGCAGCAGCTCCTTTAAAACAGAAAACCATTAGGATTAGATCATCGTCGCCCTGGTACAGTGTTCAACTCCACACTTTAAAACAGGACGTCAGAAAATTGGAGAGGCTATATCGCCACTCCCACTCGGAGCCTGTCCACAGGGAGTGGAAAGCAGGTCTCCGAAACTACAAGAAGGCCCTTCGCGGGGCTCGAACTCAATACTATTCAACTTTAATAGAAGAAGCGAATAAAAACAACAGTAGATTTTTGTTTGGTACCGTCGCTAAACTCACAAACTGCCATAGCGCAATCGAGCCTAAAATTCCAAGCTCACTGAGCAGTGTCGACTTTCTCCACTTCTTTAATAATAAAATTACATCCATCCGTGACAAGCTGGAGGAGGTTGCTCCTGCTGTTAGTGGTGGACAGGTTGAAGCGGCATACGTGACTTCCCACTTAGACTCTTCAGTGGGCCTTAAGAAATTCATGGCTGTGAGCCAAGCAGAGGTGATCTCTGTGGTCACATCCTCAAAAGCCTCAACTTGCATGTTAGACGCAGTCCCGACATGGCTCTTCAAAGACATACTTCCTTTGATAATTGAGCCTATCGTAAATATAATAAACGCATCCATACAATGTGGCTATGTCCCACAAGCTTTTAAAACCGCGGTAATCAAACCCCTTCTGAAGAAAACAAACCTGGACCCAGAAATACTTACAAACTACAGACCGATCTCGAACCTCACTTTTATATCTAAAATCCTGGAAAAACTTATAGCTGAGCAGCTCCGCTGCCACCTGCAGGAAAATGATATGTTTGAAGTCTTTCAATCAGGATTCAGAGCTCATCATAGCACTGAAACGGCACTAGTCAAAGTCACAAATGACTTACTACTAGCTGCCGATAATGGACAAGTGTCAGTGCTGGTCCTACTGGACCTTAGTGCTGCATTTGACACAATAGACCACAGCATTCTACTGCAGAGGCTAGAATGTGATATAGGTCTTAGAGGAACAGCCCTTGGCTGGTTTAAATCCTATTTATCAGATCGATATCACTTCGTCAATGTGAATCAGGACTCGTCGCCTTATTCTGGAGTGGAATTCGGTGTGCCGCAGGGTTCGGTACTCGGACCGATTCTTTTTACTCTCTACATGCTGCCACTGGGAAACATTATTAAAAAGCATGGAATTAATTTCCACTGCTATGCAGATGACACACAGCTTTATCTGTCGATGAAGCCTAATCAGACAGATCAGCTAGAAAAGCTCAGTGCCTGCATAAAGGACCTTAAAATGTGGATGACTCTTAACTTCCTACTTCTCAACCCGGAGAAGACAGAAGTGATCCTACTCGGTCCGAAGCGCCTGCGTGACTCCCTCACTAACCAGATGGTTACTCTCGATAATGTCAGTATAATACCCAGTAACACTGTGAGGAATCTTGGAGTCATTTTTGACCAAGAACTCTCCTTCAAGGCTTATATAAGCCAAGCAACTAAAACGGCGTACTTCCACTTAAGGAACATCGCTAAAATTAGGAATTTCCTTCCTAAAAGTGACGCGGAAAAACTCATTCACGCGTTTGTCACCTCAAGGCTCGACTACTGTAACGCTTTACTGGCAGCGTGCCCTAAAGCCTCTTTGAAGAGCTTCCAGCTCGTTCAGAATACAGCAGCTAGGATCTTAACAGGTACCAAAAGGAGGGAGCACATAACTCCGGTGTTAAAATCACTCCACTGGCTCCCTGTGGAGTACAGAATAAAGTTTAAAATCCTACTCTTAACATATAAAGCCATAAATGGCTTGGCTCCTTCTTATCTCCAAGACACGTTAGTGTCGTATCAACCAAGTCGAGCGTTGCGCTCACAAAACGCCAGACGTCTGGTGGTCCCTAAGGTCTCAAAGGTCACTGTTGGTGGCAGAGCATTTAGCTACCAAGCTCCTTTACTGTGGAATCAGCTTCCCATTTATGTTAAGGAAGCAGATACGGTCTCCACATTCAAGGCCAGGCTTAAAGCACTTTACTTTAATTTAGCATATAATTAGGTAATATATAATATGTAGTGTATATATTATATATATATATGCTGTATTATGTTATATATTATGTTATATATTATTCAATAATGTATTGTGTTATGTTGTATATTATGTTATATATTATGCTGTATGTTATTCTTTATTCAAGGCTAGGTTTAAAACAGTCCTCTTTAGTTTAGCATATGGTTAGGAAGGTAAGACTCAGGGAAGGCTAAACTCCTCAGAGTGTTAGTCAAGCTGCATAGGGAGTCAGTTTGCTGGGAGAAGTATGGTAACTTGAGCACTATCCTCTCCTCCTTCCTACTTTATCTGTTTAGCATTTTTAGGATTCTGACTGTAGTTTGTTCATTGCTATTCACCCGTTGTCCCATTGTCTGTTTCATGGTACGATGACGGGATCTCTGAGCCTGGCCTCTTCCATCTACACCTGCGGACTGCCCCGCCCGACCCGCCTGGGAGTGCTTCGGTCCTGCACCGGACCTGTCCACGTTCAGCGTCCACTGGTCCACGTTCTGTAGCTAGCTTAGGTCCTAGATCATTAGTCTGTCCGTCCGGAGGAGCGGATCCCTTTCTCATATGGGTCTCCCTCCCTGTGGGTTTCCCTAGTTCTCCTCCAAGGTTTCTCACTTTTTCCCACTGGGTTTTTTAAGAGTTTTTCCTTGTCGATGCAGGAGGGTCTTGTTGGACAGTTAGTGTCCAACAGAAAGGATTGGTGATGATCAGGACACTTTAGCATTCTACAACATGTATGGACATTTTCTTCTGTGTGTGCTTTATACTGTATTCTTCATGTGTTTTAACTGTTGATTCTCTGACCTGTGTTGGTGATTTCAATGGTTTTGTTAAGTCCTCTGAGATGACTTCTGTTGTGACCTAGGGCTATACAAGAATAAATTGTATTGTATTGTATTGTATTGTACTCTACCCCGTTTCCACCCGCCCCGTTTAACTGGTACCAGGTCTTTCTTTACTCCCTCTTGGCTGTGGGTCTTTCCAGGTCGAGCTGGTAATAAAGTGTTCTAACTGACGGGGATTGGCCAGAGTGCTGCTGGACGCCATGGTATACGATACCGGACACTAAAGCGTAATAGAAACACAAACAGGTAGAGTAGAGCCGAGTAGAGTAGTGTAGGGCTTGTGGAAACAGGGTTAATGGGAGAGCATTTGGGGCAGACCATTTTTAGACTGAGAATGAGTTATCTGATGATTGAACCAAAAGGGCAAGGCCAAAGGTGTGGATGTACCTGCTATTTTTTACTTGCAACAATGCCGTTTTTATTAGATTGTAAGTACGGTGAGACAATTTGGAAGTATTTGCGTGACCCTGCATGTGTCCTGTGTACCTGTGTTCCATCTCCTCTTCTTCCACACGAAGTAGCCCACCCCCAGCAGGACCCCCAGCAGGAGCAGGGCAATCACCACCCCCAATGCGACAGACGTAGACGACCCGGCTGTGGCACAATCAGGACAAAGTCAGAACAACATTGTCAGCCCTGGGCGGCACGGTGGCTGAGTGGATAGCACTCTTGCCTCTCAGCAAGAAGGTCCTGGGTTCAAATCCCGGTTGGACCAGGGCCTTTCTGAGTGGAGTTTGCATGTTCTCCCCGTGTCTGCGTAGGTTTCCTCCGGGTGCTCCGGTTTCCCCTACCACTAAAAATATGTACAATAGGTCTGGCATGTGCCTCCTGTACTGGCACCCCCACTCCCAAAAAATAACAATTGTAAACCGCTTTGAGACTCCGATGTGCAGTGAAAAGGCGGTATATAAATAAAGATTACTTACTACTTACTACTACTACCTTAAAAACTGTGGGAAAAGCATTTTAAACTGATTGCAGCAGTCCAGTGTTCATGTTGTCCTTAAACATGATCTTGGCCTTTTGTGTTTTACAATTTGAAATGTATTTTTAAAGTAGATAATTCATAGAGAGACTACTCCCCCTGACAAGCTCCCTCTCCGGTAAGAAAAGAGAAAAATCAGTCTCTAACTAAAGCTAGTTTATGAAAAAAGTGTGTGAAGGCCTTTAATAAACTTATGTTCAAGACTAGCACTCTCAGAGCAGTCAATTTGACAGCTTTTAGTTTTGGAAGTGTAATTACTCAGCGTATACATTTTTGCTTGTCTTAACTTTGTGACTTTTATCTGTATGTAGTTTATTGCATTGTCATTTGTATGAAATCCTCGTTTATCTTTTTGTGGACTAGTTCTGGACTGTGTTTTGCTAGTTACCATAGCAACACACTGTTTACTATCAGCAGTTTGACAACTGCTGTATGTCAAGTTATATTAACCAGTGTTTAGCTCTAATCCAAAATGAATATAGGTATAACTAGTGGAAAACCAACTTTTTAGTACATTTTCAGCGTTCCATTTAATTTAATTGGAACAGTCAAAACGGTCGAACTGTGAGTCAATTTGAGAACTGGAGAAGACCGATAAAACTCACCGACCACAGTAATGTGGATGTTTGGAGATGGGACTGAGTCGAACGTTTGCGTGGAGAGATTGACCCCGAAAACACAGCTGTAATCGCCTTTGTCCACATACTGCACATTATGAAACAGGAAGACCGATTTCACCAGGTCCCCCTCGGGTTGGTGCACCGCTGCTTTGGACTCGCTGGCTTTTCTCTTGGCCTTGATGATGTAGAAGAAGCCGCCCGGGAAGATGGACCGCACAGAACAAGTCAGGTTGAAGCTGTGGCCTCGGGAGATGGAGATATTGTGAAGACTGGACTTGATCATCGGGTCCAGAGACGTCACAAGGATGTCAGGCCGGTCCAGGCTCACTGCAAACAACAGGCACTTTACTCATTTATTTTGTTTTTATTTTATTTTGATGTGGCAGCTGGTTGAACACAGCTATTCCTCCTATCAAGCAAAGTGCATTATACAAAAATATACTCAAACACAGACAAAGACACAAACAGCATGGGCATTGTGATATGTTGTTCTTATACAGATAATTTATAAAGAGAATATTCACAATTACACAAGTCTATATGATAATTAAACCATCTAAATAGAAAACATATTATTGCAGTGTATGCAAAAGCTGTTTGACAGTGTGTACACTATGCCCTGCAGGCTCTGCTCACACCCTATATACTGTAGATGATTTGCCAATGAACACAGGCTCCCATCTTGGACCCTTAGGCTGAGAAAAGTTAACTTATAATGTGCTCCCTTTACAGGAAATGGAAGTGGAACAGTCTTACAAATACCTTGGAGTCCACCTGGACCACAGACTGAACTGGTCAGCTCAAGCCAATGCTGTTTATAAGAAAGGTCAGAGCAGACTTTTCTTCCAGAGAAGACTGAGGTTCTTTGATGTGAGCAGTCAAATGTTGCACGTTTTTTACATGTTTTTTACAGGAGTTGCATGTTGGGGGCAGTCTGACCTCGAGAGACAGTAACCGGCTCGACAGGCTGATCAGGAAATGTGTCTGTGTGGTGGGGAGAAGTGTGGACTCTGTGGGAGCTGTGCTTGAGAGAAGGATGAGGGCTCTAATGCAGGCCAGGGCATCCTGTCACCCTCTGCATGACACTATGGCCGCTCAGAGGAGTAACCGAAGCAACAGACTCTTATCACTGCGCTGCCGAACGGAATGTTTCAACAGGTTGTTTGTTTCTTCGGCTGTCAGACTGTACAACAAACCTGTATGAGTTTTCTGCTGCTGGACACCTGAATATCTCCTACGGGAATCAATAAAGTACCTATCTATCTATCTTTGAATAAGGAGCCATAGTATTTTTCTGTATGTAATATCATAATATCACATTTTGGTTGTCAGTATTAACAGAATTTGTTGAGTAAATTGAATTAGTATTAAATGAATATTAAAAAACATGCTAAAAGTTTATTCAAAAACGCTGCAGCTCGAGTCCTGACTAGAACCAGGAAGTACGGTCACATTAGTCCAGTTCTCAGGCTTTGCTTCCTGTGGCTCAGAGAAAAGACTTTAAAACAGCTCTGTTTGTTACAAGTCTCTCCATGATCTTGCACCAAAGGAGGACATGGGGAGGCAGCATTTCTGATTTATGCAGCTAGAATCTGGAACAGTCTCCCTGAAATTGTGAGACAGGTGTCTACTCTGACAATGTTCAAATCAAGGTTAAAAAGACTTCTGTTTAACTGCAACAACTGGAGGATTATATCTTCCTTCATTTTAATGTTTTGTGATTATTTACTTTAATCTTGTTTGTTAAAGTGATTGTCTGGAGATTGTCAGAAAAAAGAGACGGAAGTACATGATTTGGAAAAAAAGACCCAAGCTCCTCCCCCTTCCTTTCTGATTGGTCTACGCCTACGTTTCCGTAACAATCAATCAACACATGTAAATCTTAATCGGAGAACACATTATACATATACATTATTAATACACATGCACAGAGGTTTTCAGAAATATCTGTTACCGTTTTCATGGAAAAAATAATGTTTTAATGCACAAAAAAAGCGATTGCGGTAAACCCGGAAGTAGCTATTTTCATTAAATGAACATTATAGGACACATCTGCAGAGATTCAGATTATGGATATAGGTTCAGTATATAAATTATTATGGATATAGGTTCAGTATATAAATGATTATGGATATAGGTTCAGTATATAAAAGATTATGGATATAGGTTCAGTATATAAATGATTATGGATATAGGTTCAGTATATAAATGATTATGGATATACAGGTTCAGTATATAAATGATTATGGATATACAGGTTCAGTATATAAATGAGTAACTCGGCGCGGATGTTCAGAATTCTTTGTTCAGTTTTCATGTAGTTCCAGAGCCTAATGGAGGCTTGATTTGGAGCCTCTGTGAAAACAAACAACTGAGCGCAGCTACGGGCATGAGCGCCGATGATTGACAGCCTTTGGCATGACTTGATTTGTTAAACTGGACAGCATTGTGGATTTTGAGCTATAGCTAAGCGAAGGGAAGGCGGGACTTACCTGTAATATTAGAATTCATAAAATGACTTATTTTATATCAACATTTTAGGCCAGGAGGTCAATTTAATACAATTCTTAAAATTTTGAATTCATTTAGAGTTCCAGACTATCACTTTTAGCACTTTCAGCCCTGTGTATGAACTGTGGTATAGAAATAAACTTTTCTTGCCTTAAAATGTACAAATAGATGTATACAAATGTGATCTTTGTATAGATCACGGGGCGACAGTAGCTCAGTTGGTAGAGCATTGGCCATTGGGCCTGAAGGTCATGGGTTCGAGCCCACCGTAAGACCTACTTCACGACTCCCACTGATGTAAGCTGTCGTTGTGTCCTTGGGCAAGACACTTAACCCCACTTTGCCTGAAGCTCCCACTGAAAGATCTCAGCTCCTGTGGACTCACCACCTGCAGGAGGATCGGTGAGGGGCTGGTGCTCTGTGTACTGGGTGCAGCTCTGACTGCCACCCCCCAACCCAGAAATGGATTAAGGGGAAGAAAATGGATGAATGGAAATGTGATCTTACCTTTGACTGTGAGCTCCATACTGTCTCCTTCAGGAAAGTAGTTGACGTCCCTCCCTACGTTCTTTCTGTATTGACAGTAGTAGGATCCGCTGTGGTTGAGGCTCACAAAGGGAAGGGTGAACACCGCAGCCAAGTTCTCTGAGAATTTCTCCATTTTGAATGTGCTGTTGAGTTTCCTCAGCGTGAAAGTCCCCCTTGCCTCATGGTTCGACACTGCACAAGTCACGGAGGCGGTGTCCCCCCATTTCACCTCTGCCCCCGGGTTCAGCAGAATTTTGGGCTTTTGAAGCACGTCTACACAAAGAAAGACATGAGACCTGTTTTTTTTTTTCTATGATTAGTGAGTGTGGTACTTCAATAAGTTTACTCTTCAATTTACGTCAGTGGAGCCAAAGTAAGTTGGTGCAAAGCGTCACTGTGAGCACTTCACGATTAGACTTCAGAGAACTAGCGGGTTAGCATTGTCCATTCTTACAGTATTGTTTAAGAATGAGAAATTATGTACATAAAAACATAATCATCACATATTTTTGAGTGGTTCCTTGCTGATGCAGGAGGGTCCAAGGACAGTGATGATCCAGGACATTTAAGGAAATTTATTAACATTAAAGCTGCACTAACTGACTTTGGGATTTTGAAGCCGCGGACTCGCTGGCCTCGCTCTTTCTGCTCCCCTCCCCGCACACACACCCACTGTTGTTGACGGAGCTAGCGTCTCCCAATATGGATAATACATGGATATGGATTTGCACGTGGATGGCAAATCCACGTGCCATCCACGATAGAACGATAGAACCGGGAAGCACGGAGGAACGGGACTTTCTTTTGGATGGCTGTTTCGCTGAGTAAGCAGTAACCGGTGACGAAGACGAGAAAGTTTCAGGTTAGCACCTCGGCTTGTTGTGCTAACTCAGCTGTCTATGCTAACGGACCTGTAGATTTCTCACGAAAGTGGGGGCTAGTGGTCCGCTGTGATTGGTCACAATCTGCGACCCGAAACACATGTCTTCCTTGTTTCATCAAAACTCGATCTAAAATATAATGTCACGCAAGCACAAACCTGCGCTACTTATTCTTCAAAAGGACTTATATCCTAACTGCATGGACATGGATAGCATTTTCGTAATGAATACAAAAATAAAGTCAGTTAGTGCAGCTTTAATGGACAATGGTCATCCCACTCCCTATGGACCAATGGCTCCTGTGTTTGTTGGTATTGCATTTTCTGTGTAACTGTAACCGTCACTAATAAGAGCGATGACATTTGCGTGGGTGGAGCTAAAATGAAAAAATATATTCAACATGAAGACATGTATTATGGGGCCCTGGTTTAAAATATGAATTATACTTTTACACCAATAAAGCCACAGTTTGTAAAGAAACATCCATGAATAAAGATTTTTACCCAGGCAGGAGGCCCAGGCGTCCTCCTCGTGGCCACAGTTATGATTGCTCCAGCCGTTATGAGTGCACTGGGCGATGGAGGCTTCTGTCCCGCGACACTGCACGTTGTCCAGCCAGATTTGGCCTTTGCCGCTGCCGTCCACAGAGGAGGAGACTGGGAATCCACAGCCCAGCTGTCTGCAAACCACACGCACATCGTCCATGTCCCAGTCATCGTTGCACACCGTCCCCCACTCTCCTTTGTGGAACACCTCCACACGGCCAGAGCAGGCGTGCGGGCCATCGGCCAGACGGACTAGAGCTGCGGGTAAAGTGAAAAACAACAGTGAACCGTCAAACAACAAAAATGATGCATTAGTATGGATTTATCCATTGCCAGGTCGCGGGGGGGAACCGTCTAAGGCGTTCCCAGGCCAGCTGAGAGACACAGTCCCTCTAACATGTCCAGGGTCTCCCCTGGTCTCCTCCCGGTGAGACATGCAGGACCACCTCCCCAAGGAGGCGTTCAGGACTCATCCCAAACAATCCCTTCTTGTGGAGAAGTAGCGACTTCTAGGGATAGTTTATAGAGATAGTCTTTTATAATTTAATGTTTTATAAAAAACTCACTTATTAGTGAAATATACGTAACCTGTCTCTGTGACCCAAAAAAATGTCAAAATATGTAAGAGAATAAAATTAGAATATGAAGAAAGACTCTTCCTTGCTCTCATAAGAGTGCACCGGGGGACATGTGAGCGCTCTGACCAATCTGAGCGCTGCTCATCCGCACAAATGTGTGGATTTATAGAAAACCAATGGAGTTCAAAAGTATGTATAGTTCAGAATGACGAGAAATGCTAAAATCCACATAAAATCCTCCTTTATGAAAGCTGTAGGTTCCGTGTCAGCTGAGTAAAAGCTGCTTTGGTGAACATTGAGGCCCGTGGGGAAAATCTTATGTAAATGTAGATTTAAGCTGCAGTACCGTGGATGGCCCCTTGTCTACAGGGAGAAAACACAATCCACATGAAATAGTACATCTATGGGCCGGAAACGTTAGGAATACAGACACTGTATAATGGATATCAATAAATGGCTGTGCTGAAATGCCTCTCTGACCCCTGTCAACTTTACCTGCACAGGAAACACTTTACCTGAGCAGGAAACACTTTACCTGCGCAGGAAACACTTTACCTGAGCAGGAAACACTTTACCTGAGCAGGAAACACTTTACCTGCGCAGGAAACACTTTACCCGCGCAGGAAACACTTTACCCGCACAGGAAACACTTTACTTGCGCAGGAAACACTTTACCTGCACAGGAAACACTGGCGTCTTGACTCTGCGCACACGTGGATCGTGGCAGGCCACTGGTCAGGCAGCGCTGTAGAGCCTGCCTGCTGCTGAAACACTCAGCGCCCGGATCCGATACAGGGACAGCTGCTTTGTGTGGCACGGTGCTCACGCTGATGGCTTGTCCACAGTCCAGCAGCTCACAAACCACCTCAGCCTTCTCCACGCTCCAGTCCGCCCCACACACTGCGCCCCACACGCTCCCCATGCGCACATCTACTCTCCCGGTGCAGCGGTCAGATCCTTCGACCAGCCGGATGTTCAGGCTGTCTGTGGAGTTCAGAGACATATTTATTTCACAAATTATCCAAATAATTATACAATTGCGAATACAAACAATTTTGAACAAGCATCTTGTGGGATCTTCTGCATATCTTCCCCGCACAACCAGAGATAATGAAGAGATAATGATCCCACTCTGCTTATGTATATAAAAAAGGTTTAGTAAGACTAAGAAAACTTCAAAAAATACAGCCAAAGCCACTAGGCCTGGTAAAGATGCTATAAACAATGTTTTTGTTTTCATAAAAAGTTCATAAAAATGCTTATTACTACATACAAGTTGTATTATAATCCGTAATTGAATGGAAAACTCGAGCTCATTGATTCAGCTGTGTATGAATTGGCTATAACTCCTCTTGCTGTAACTGCATACACAGCAAAACAGCCCAAACAACACAACAGTGAGGAAGAGAAGAGGGAAGAACTAAAGCGAAAAAATTATCAAAGAAGAAATCAAGCCCGGGTGAACAGAGCTAGCTTACGTCGTATCCTCTGGAGAGACTTGTCTATGGGAGAGACCTGCGGGACCACCTCGGACTATCTGTGCTCGGTCTACATTCGCACGCTAATGTTTGCATATAGATCGCAAATAAAACTAGATGGCTCCTTGGAATGAGAGCGTAGAGGAAATGAGAAACCTGTGAGCGAGTTGAGGGACGTTGCTTAACATTCAAACCTTGCAGAAATGGGTGTAACTCCTTTAAACCAATGGGAAAACCCTGCAAGACCAGGAACAAAGGAATTTCTTGTTTTGTTGAGTGTAGATGTGCTTTCCTGCTCCTGAAGTCATGTTTTATTTTTTAAATGTGAAGAGTTCGACCTTTAACTCCAAGAGCATCTTGACTGCTTTATTAATGTGAAAGTAAAATATAATTTGTAGCCATTTTTGGTTACCATAGCAACACCATCTTTAATTGCCAGCATTTATTCGGCTTTCAACAAACTGTTTTAATTTATTTAATCTATTTTTTTATTTACCATTTTTTGCTTCTATCAAATGTAAAACTAGGTATACATTCTTCAAATTTCCATGGATTCAAAATAAGAGCTCTTAGAATGTTGGTGTTTACACTTGATAGTGCTGTGGTACCTGAGCAGATGACCGCAGCCACAGAGGACTGGTTACATTCCTTGCCCCCATGAACGAGGGAGCACTGCTCCAGCAGGGACTCGCGGCCGTTACACTCCATGTGCTCCACCTGGAACGTGGCGGTGCCGTGGCCGTACAGGCTCGGGTCCGTGGTGAGGTTGAAGGCTTGGCCACAGTTCAGCTGCTGACACACCACTTTAGCGTCGTTCATGTCCCAGGACTGACCACACACATTTCCCCAGCGGCCTTTGTGGAACACCTCCACTCTGCCGGCGCAGCGGTTCGGACCATCCTTCAATTTCACAATACCTGCCGTTCAAAAGACAAACTCAACCATCACTCTTAGTCCTTTGTCCCAACTCCAGATCGACCAAAATATTGCAACAAGGATACCGCGTAAAATTGCTTTTCACCTGTAACTCCCGGTGCTACAATTCTCTCCATGGCCTCGCACCAAAGTACGTACACAACATGTTAGTGCTATATGAAAGAACTCGGACTCTGTGGAGCACAGGGACTGCCCTCCTGCTAGTGCCCAGAGTCAGGACTAAACATGGGAAGGCAGTGTTTCAGATTTATGTGGCTAAAATCTGAAACAGTCTTCTTGAGAATGTGAGACAGTCTTCTGCAATATTCAAATCCAGGCTACAAACAGTTATTTTTTGCTGCAACAACTGAGAGATTGTATCTTCACTCTGTTTAAGCCGCTGTGATTCTTAATGATTTTAATGCCTTGCATGATTTATTTTCTTGTTTTGTTAACCACTGTGGCCTTAAAACTGGCCTTTCCTTGCCTTACCATCAGAGGGCTACAATATGAAATATTTTCTCAACATTTTTATAATATTGATACAAAAGTTATATTTTCTCTGGGGGTCTCTGGGACATTGCCTTGTTGTGGAGGGCTAGGTCAGAGAATAGACTTCAAAGCAGCTCTGCTTTACAAGTCTTTCCATGGATAGGAAAGATGAGGAGGGGGGACATGTTAGTGCTAACTCCTGATAATGTGGATGGAGCTAAAAACATCTCCTTCAGTGAAGTTGTTCTTCAGTGCAGCTATCACTGATTGTGTGTCTCAGTATGTATTCATTATTTTGAATTTAATGCTAACTTTGGTAAAAAAAAAAAAAAAAAAAAAAAAACCTTTTGGGAACATGTTCTATGGATTCATCTTTTGATTATAGTCTTTATCACATCCTGAGTCCTGGATCTACAGCCTGTCCATCCATGGGAGCAGATCCCTCACTCAATGTTTTCACTTATTCTTACTGGGTTTTTCAAGTTGTTCCTTGCCGATGCAGGACTGACTAAGGCCAGTGATGATCCAGGATATTTAGAGACAAAAAACATTTCTGGACAGTGGTCTTGCGGATCTTTTGTTGGTCAATCAATAACTTTGTGAAGTCCTTTGAGACTGTTGTGATTGAGCGCTATTCAAAAAATGTGTTGAAATTTGAATAGAACTGTACCTGAACATGTGACTGTAGCATAGCGCAGTTGCTCAGTCGGCTGGGTCTTGGCGTAGGCCCTGACGTTGCACTGGCTGAGGCTGCTCTCTCGGCCAGTACAGCTGACTTTGAAGCCTTTCTGCAGCTCTTTTTGAAGGAATGATCCGGTTGTGGACTTGATGTCGCCGCAGTTCATCTCCTTGCAAATGACGGTCGCTTCGTTCATTCCCCAGTTTGTATTGACTGCGGGTAACCACTCTCCATCGTGGTAGAGCTCCACGCTGCCCGAGCACTGGTCAGGACCGCCGAGCAGTCTGAGGTGGGCTGAGGATGAGAGAGAGAGAAACCATTCCTGACTGCTTCGCTGAGTATTGTTGTTCTGATTCAGGCTGCGTCCACATAAAAAGACAAAACAGATGAAACAAGGTCTGGGATCTGAGCATCAACACGGGAACCATCAAATCCACATATGGACTTTTTCAATAGATCTGAGGGAAAATGAAGAGAAGCTATTGGAAATCAATATTCAATAACACGAGAACTCTCAGAGCAGTCAAATTGACGGCTTTGGAAGCGTAATGACTCTGAGTATGACTCAGAGTATTTTTGGTCTTCATAACTGTGACTTTTTCTGTATCTTTATGTAGTTAATTAGCCTGGTCGTACCACACCATAGTACAAATGACATTTCATAATAAGGTCTGGATTTGCTCCATTGAGCTCCGTTTACAGATAGGAGGGGTTAACTCCTTTTGCAGATTGAAACGATTGGATCTGAGTTTACCGTGATGTATGTAATGCGCCCGAGTGAGTCGTTAGCATTTAGCATTTAGCCTAGTCATCTCCTTTGCCGCTAACGGAGCCCGTGGGGAGTAGCGCCACAATTTTTTCCAGCGATAACATTTGCTAAACATTACCCTTGCTCCAGCTTCAATTTCTTGATAGAACCAGACCGGATTACTTTATTATCACATTTTTCGCCATTGCCAAACTACAACCTTCCCGTTCGACGCAAACTCTTGACGTCACCCACAACTAACTAACTAACACCTGCCTTCCGCGCTCTCTGAATGGTCGAACAAAATTCAACTGATTGTAATCGCTAACATGGGGACTAGACCCAGACGTTACATGCAGTGAAATGATGATTGAACGGAGTGTACGGATGGCTAAGGCCAGGCTAGTAGTTAATCTATATGTGATTACTTTCAGGAACTTATTTAGCCATTTTATAAAATGTATTTAGCCATTTTCAGTCGCTTGGCGACATTTCCCCAAGGTGCTCAGTCCTGAGCAGGTCACAGCACAGCCTGGTGATCGTTACCATAGATTATAATGTTTCTTTTCTTGTTTTGTTAAGCACTTTGAGGTGCATTGTGTACAAACTGTGTTATACAAATAAACTTGCCTTGCCTTCGTAGTAACACACTGTTTACTTGCAGAATTAGCGTTTTGCCTTTCAACAAAATGTGTTTGCTGTATTTCAAGTTATATATAAAGACAAACCTTTATAAATTACCAGTTTTATTAAAGTAACTCACCGTTTCCTGTTGATTTGAATGTGAGTTATCAAAATGATTGCTCGGGGAGCTCTAGTAGTTATGGACAGACATTTCCAGGGTGGAGTTATTTTTCTCTGTGTTATTTGTGGCTCTCGGTGCAGCAAAGGAGTCATTCAACTCAAAAGGCCATATGGCTGCAGGTTTTCATTCTGCTCCTGCTTGGTTGGACTGAAAACCTACTGCCCCTCATTGAATGCCCCTGCTGTTGAGCGTATGAGTGGACTACCCTGCTCTGAAATGAATTCATACTGAACTCACATTCAAATCAATGGGAAAGGGTGCTAATGTACAGATGTAAACATACTGCTGCTAATGTACGGATGCTAACATGTACAGATGTAAACATACTGCTGCTAATGTACAGATGCTAACATACTGCTGCTAATGTGCAGATGCTAACATACTGCAGCTAACATGTACAGATGTAAACATACTGCTGCTAATGTACAGATGCTAACATACTGCTGCTAATGTGCAGATGCTAACATACTGCAGCTAACATGTACAGATGTAAACATACTGCTGCTAACATGTACATATGCTAATATACTGCTGCTAATGTACAGATGTAAACATACTGCTGCTAACATGTACAGATGCTAACATACAGCTGCTAACATGTACAGATGCTAAAATTTAACTACACATTGCTTGCACTAGAATACACAGTACTTTATACTTGCCTCTTATTATGCCAAATGACATTTTTTTAGACTTCTTTTTTATTATTATTATTTTCAAGATAGAGATTTCATACTCGTTATTTGATGCTAGGGTTAGAGATTTTGTTTTATTTATTTAATATATATCTATTGCTCACTTATCCTTCCCACTGTTCTATAACTTGTGATGCAACACTGAAATTTCCCCACTGTGGGACAAATAAAGGATCTCTTAATCTTAATGGTGAGGGTGAAGGTGGAAGAGGCAGACCTACCTGAGCAGATGACCCCAGCATCTTCTCCGTGCCCACAGTTGTGGTTACTAAAATCTGGGTGTTCACATTGTACAATCGAAGACTCATTCCCCAAGCAGTTCACATCATCCAGCCAGATGTCATCAAACCCTGGGCCAAAGAAGCTGCCGGGCACCGCCATCAGCGCCGTGCCACAGTCTTTGGACAGGCACACCACCTGGGCGTCTCGAATGTCCCAGTCATCATCACATATAGTGCCCCACTTGGCGTTGTGAAGGATCTCCACTCTGCCGGAGCACCGGTCTGATCCATTCACAAACCGAATGGAGGAGTCGCCTGGGAATGATACAAAAAGCTGCTGTCAATATCAATCTACAATGCTAGGCCATGACAGCGCCCCCTGCAGGACAAATATACATTAATATATATATATATATATATATATATATATATATATATATATATATATATATATATATATATATGTATATATATATATATACTTCATGAAGAAAGAGTGTGGGCTCCTTCTACAGTCCTATATGTACGTTCCAACAGAAAATGTATCCCGACTGTGGGACTAATAAAGTTTCTCTGATTTTTTCTTCAAAGCCGATAGAGTAGTTTGGCGCTGATGCATCATCGTTACATTAGACCATCTTTCAATCAAGGCCAATAGATCCCAAAACTAGCTTCCACTGTTTAGATTGATGAAGATCAATTCCTGGATGCAGCTGGTGATCCGAACGGTATTTACTGAACCTATCGTAATTCCCATAACTGTTATGTGGCTAATAGAAAGACAGAAATATAAACCTAACTGGTGAAAACATAACCTCCTTGGAGTGGTAGTAATTCAAAAGAAGTTATGGACAGACATATTCAAAATGTTCAGGAAACCTCAGAAAGGAACAAAAGATTAGATTTTGGAGGTGATTCAATCCAACTCTTGGCTGAGGTGATGTTATTGAGATAAATGTTTGTCTACAGGTCGACTATTGATCTGTTGCATAGTTATTTTTGCTATCTCCTCAAATATGTTACTAAAAAGTGTAGTATTACCTCCACATTTAATACTAATGTCCTTGTCATGACCACATGTTGATGACGGGAAGCCAATGAGAGAGCACCGGTGCATGGACGTCAGGCTGTTGAAGCAGGCATCGGTGGGGTTATACACCGGCCCCATGCCGGGAGGATAAACACCCGTAATCGAAGCATTCTGTACGTGTCCACATTCCAACATGTCACACAATACTTTGGCTTTGTTGACGTCCCAGCCTGAAGAACACAGCGTTCCCCAGGTATCTCCGTGGTGGACCTCAACACGCCCAGAACACCGGTCTTGACCATTGCTCAAGCGAACAACAACGCCATCTGCAAACATGAAATATATAACAATAAATAAAAAAATGCAGTTGTATTTGAAGCTGGGGTGATTCACTTTAAAACCACAAACAATAGATCTATATAATTAAGTCCAGTTCTGGCTTTGCATCTGATATACAGTGTATGATTGGCAAGAACTATTAATAAAGTATGTTTGTGACAGAATCTCTATCTTAAGAGCAAGACAAACTTCTTAGTGGTTAGACTATAAATACTCATACCTCCACATATGACTCCCGCCACCACAGAGCTGGAGCATGTCTTGTTTCTGAACTGTAGTGGGCACATGGAGAATTGAAACTCGTTCCCGCTACAGCCAACGTCGTCCACCCAGAGCTTTGCTGACATTTTACCAGTGGAGGTAATAACTTTGTGCACGGAGCCACAGTTCAGTTGCTTACAGAGCACCTGCGCATCGTTCATGTCAAAGGAATCGGGGCACACGTCCGCCCACTGGCCGCTGTGGTGTACCTCCACTCTCCCAGCACAACGGTTAGGCCCATCCGACAAAAGAACTTTACCTGCAAAAGACTCAATTAACACAAATTCCAACTATTATAAAAGCCTTAAAAGTTCATTTATAGCGCTTAAAAATTGGAAAAAGAGATGTTGGCATTTGATGGCATCACTTTTTAAATATGTAGTTTGTTTAGCTGGGTTCTGTTAACTTTTTACTTTCTAGGCACAGTCAGGGGCCGGAGGGAATCTAGTTTGGGGATCACATAATATAATTTCTGCCATTTGCTATCAATGTCCTGTTGGCTTCAACAAACCAGGACTTTCGTCATGCACTGTGACTGTTTTGATCTGAGTGTGAAGCGGCTGGGATGAGGATCAGCATCTCCAAATCTGAGGCTTTGGTGCTCGCCCTCTGTAGGGGGGAGATGTCTTTCCTCAATTGGAGAAAGTATCTCTGGGTGTTCTCCACATGGAGAGAAGCCTCACTGTGGAAGTGTTCCAGGCATGTTCCACCAAGTGGAGGCCAGGGGAAGACCAAGGACATATAGGAGGGACTGTGTCGCTCAGCTGGCCTGGGAACACCCCCTGATGAGCTGGAGGAAGTGTGTGTGGATAGGGAAGTCTGGTCATCTCCGCTTAGGCTGCTTCCCCGCGACCCAGCAACGGATAAAGGAATAGAATGATCAAATCCTATACAGACAATGGGTTGTGAGAGGAGCTTTCAATCAGTATAAGGAGCAGCAGCTCTCTTCAGAGCTCCTTCTGTGTGAGACCAAAGGACCCTTCTGCAGACAAACTTTTTCTCAGGCAAGAAGTCATTATGAGTTCTATCTGATAAAGACCACTGAACATTATCTGCAAAAAGAGAAAAACTTAACCCTCTTTGATCACCCACTGTGCTTAGAACATCTTTCCAATATTCCTCTATGTACTTACTAATCCTTTAGGAATTATGCTTATATTTCTCAAGGGACGTACCTGTACAAACAACTGTTGCATCTTCGGATTTATCCCCTTTTATCCGATTATATCGTTCTATCGTGCATTCTTTTAGTGACCCTTCAGTGCCTTTGCAGGTAACGTCGTGGATGCTCAAAGGTTCATTTGCAGTATTTGATCCTGAGAAAGACACCGCCTCGCCACAGTCAATCTCCCGGCACACGACTACAGTTTCCTTCAGCGCCCAGGTGGACAGGCGGGCTGACGACCACTGGTCACCAACACTGAACTCCACTCTGCCAGAGCAGCCACTGGTGCCGTTAATCAGTCTGATGTGAGCTAAAGGGAGTAAGGAAGAATGTATATTAGTAAATACATAACATGCATAATGTATGACACCTTGCATTCTTGATTATATAGATCCATCACAAATGGTAGATGTGGATCTGATTCCAATACACTGAAAATGTAACACTGGTGATACAACCCTGTCTTCACTGTGGGACGACAAGGATCTCTTAATCTCTGTCAATTGACATTACACTAACGAAGGAGGAGTTTACACATCTCAAAAATCATCATACAATTCCTTTGGTCACATGACAACACGGTGGAACCCCAGCAAGGAAGAGAACAAAGACGGCTCTGCTCCTGAAGAAGAGGAGGAGGAAGAGGAGGGAGGTGACCAGCAACCAGTGAACTTTAGCAGATTAGGACAACCCGAAATGCGAGGCGGCTGTCCAGATTCTGCCTACAGCTAGTTAGCTTCAGCCTCCAGCCCAGTCCAGTATGTCTTGTTGCATATTTTTGTTTTCAAACCCTGTTTCACCAGTCGTCATAAAACATGCACAAAATACTGGTTACATATTCTTTGTACGTCATCAAAAGTACATATCTTACTTTTAGAGTTTGTATACCTTTATTAAATTAAATGGAATTAAGATAACTTCATATTTGTAGATATCAGAAGAGAATGTTTCCTCATGCATATGATTGCAGAGGAAAATAAAACAATCTATTATTTCACTCATTCCTAAAGACCATAAGGATCCAGAAAGCCCTATATCTTGTAGATCATTATTGATTCAAAATACTTAACAAACATCTTGGCAACACGATAATACAATGCGATACATAAACCTGTATTCAACGATCAAACCGGCTTCATTAAGACAAGCCAGTCTGGAATATTACAGTTTGTAACTGGTATAAAAGAAAAAGTCATCTTTACATTGGACACAGAAAAAGCCTTTGATTGCGTACAATGTAAATATGTATAATATGGTCTCGCCCCTCCGTACTTGTCCGAACTTTTGTCTGTTCGTGACTCAGGCAGATCATTGAGGTCCTCATCTCAACTCCTCCTGGAAGTACCAAGGACTAGGTCCCAAACACTGGGGAGACCGGTCCTTCTCAGTCGCTGGACCCAGACTCCGGAACAAGGTGCCCCCTGATATGCGTGTTCTTACTGATTTTGGCCTTTTTAAATCGAGGCTCAAAACCTATTTATTCAGACTGGCTTTTAACACTTTTATCACTCAATAGCAGGTGAAACTTTTTAAATGCTTTTTTAAATGTTTTTTTAAAATGTTTTATTGTTTTAGTGCATAAATGTTTTAAATTGATTTTATGTTATTTTATTGTGAAGCACTTTGGTCGCCTTGAGTGTTGTAAAGGGCTCTATAAATAAAAATGGATTGATTGATTGATTGATCTATTTACTGTCTCTCGTGCTATCAGCCCGTTAAAGGGACCACAGACGGATATCTCGGTCTGATAAAACAAAATTCTCACCGGTCATCACAAAAATCAAAAATGGATCTCTCAAGGTGGAATAATCTTTCATTATCATTGCTGGACATTTCAACAATTAAACAGTGTTGTTCCAGTTCACAGCTTTTCTGAACTAGTTCAAGTTCAAGTTCATACATGCTCAAAGTGAACAGTTCACAATTTTAATTCTGAAGTAGTTTAAAGTTCAGTTAATTCTACTTTTTTCGTGAGATATTCAAATAAATACTTTTTTTCACACTACGAGCTAGAAATCACTATATGTTCTTTGAAGCTGTTGATTGTAGACATGTGCTCATGACCCTGCAATTGTGGGTTTCTTACCAGGTGATGAAACTTGCAGAAGTACAGAGTTTGACTCCAAAACAGACAAGATTTACATGGTTTCCAATGGGAGCAAAACTGAGTTGTCCAACTCTGGTCATGCGCCCCCTACAGGCCAGGTTAATGAAACCCAAGAATGCCATTCAACTATTCTCAGCCGGACACTACGTTGCCCGCAATGCATTGAGCACACATTGTCAAAACCATTTCTGTCTGGTGATACATGATTTTCTCTTGTTGTGTTTAAAAAGAGAAAACAGATGTCACTCAATTTTCAATGGAAAATAAATTCCAACTGAGTCTCAAACGGTTTAATTTAATCGGGCTGACTCAGGTCGGGCCGTGCAGTGCATGCGACAACATATATGGTGGAACCGTACGAGTAATTCACTTTCAAGTTCTTTATTTAAGAATTTGTTGCGTTCAGTTCAACGTTGAATGAGTGTGTTCAATGAACCCCTAACCCCTGTGTTGTTTCTAAAACAACACAGGCACCTGATTTACATCCTTGATATATTGTTTATAACCAGTTTCCTTCAGGAATTAAACGAATTATGAGTCCAGGAACCAAGAGGAGGAGGACGAGGAGAAGGAAGAGTAAGAGGATGGAGAAGAAGAAGAAAAAGAGGTACTGTATAACCAACTTTCCTTTAGAGACAAGCAATGTAAAAAGTCTAGGAAGCAGAGTGTATTTGTACAAACAGCCATACTCACAGGAGCAGACAGCGCCAGCATCTTCAGAATGCCCACAGTTGTGATCTCCCAGTTGATTGCGGGTACAGTCTGCCAGGTTTGATTCGTTTCCAGCACAGTCCATATTGTCCAGCCAGATCTGGCCATCACCTTCGCCAAAAAACGAATGGTGCTTTGCCTCAATGGGGCCGCCACAGTCCATGGCTCGACACGCCACCTGGACGTCCTTCATGTCCCAGTTGTCGTCGCACACTGTCCCCCACCCTTTGTTGAAAAACACTTCCACTCGTCCAGAACAACGGTCAGAGCCATTCACAAGCCTTATATCTCTGAAACCTGAGAAGAAAAACAGTTCATCTCCAGGTCAAAGGATTGGGAACAGGAAGAGACAAACTGGGAATTTGCTTTGTTAAATTTAATTAGAGAAATGAAAAAGCATACAAAATATTAGTCAAATTCTTAAAAATACAAGTGTGGATAGGGAAGTGGGCGACTTTGCTTAAGCCTGGTTCACACGGCAGGATAATTAGGCCGATTTTGGACCCGATTTACCCCTACGACAATCGTAAGAACGCTCCGAATATCGTAACAAAAAATCTGAAGGATTTTCCTGCCGTGTGTGGTGTGCGCTCGGAAGGACTTCGGGACTGCTCCAATCTCAATATTGGGGATATCCAACATGGCCCAATTTCTCTTCGTGTGTGGTGTCCCCCGAGGACAGACGAGCGCGTTGCAATGACTGCGGCGTGTAGCCAATCAGAAGACGAGACGAGCCGGCGAGGAAACACCGTAAAAAAACCAAAACAGTCAGCGGCATGGCACACCAGCAAATTCGGTGGACATCAGAGATGGAGGAACAGTTGATTTATGGCAACACCGTGAATGCATGTATGACGTGTCCTGTAAAGAATATCATCACCGAAATGACAAGGAGAGGAATTGGGCAGAAATTGCTGCTGCACAGGTAGTGTTGGCATAAGCCCTATTCGGACGGGATTAGTACAATAAATGATCAGACTAATGGGTTGTGTTTGTACGTTTACTTTGCACTCTGTCCTAATACAGTACAGACGTGTTGATGCAGCTGTTACTGCAGCCGTGCTTGTTGGTTTGTGCGTATGTAAAGTTTCATGTCTAGCAGTGTGTGTGATGCGTTCACAGGTAGTCCGTACAAACTGTATTATTAAACATTACAGACAGTACGGGCCAGAAAACTGTAGAGCAGTAAAATCCACATGTATGTCTTTGTCCTCATGGTATCTGTGGCTGCTGTGGTCAGACGAGAGTCTCTATAGGCTGCGTGAAGCGGACTATAGAGCCCGCACACTATGTTTACTCTGAAGTCACGCTTGATCTCGAGAGATGTTGTGAGATTTCCGGTGACCTGTGAATGCTCGGGGGTGAAATCGGTTCGTGTGTAATGTGTGTGGCTTGCGTGATTTTGCCGTGTGGCTGCACACCACACACTGTACGACCAAAGTGGTTAGACCCGTGATTTTTTATCTCCGTGTGTGGTGTCACTCACGGAGAAAAAAATCGGCCGACAATTTTAAAATCGTCTTGTGTGAACCAGGCTTAAGACTGCTGCCCCTACAACCTGGCGGCAGATTAAGCGGAAAAAAATGAATGGATGATTAGGTAACATTTCACAGTGCATATATTATCAATAATAGGCAAAGTTTTGCTCCAACTCGCTCCGGCTGCTATTGACTTACATTAGAAAGTAAATTACTCTGGCTCAGTAATCATCTGTGTCACACTCACCATTTTGGGCTCAAATAATCAGTGGTTTATCATTCTCTGTGAACCTGGTGTTTATATGTGGATATCGTCTGCCCCTGTTACGGAGTGAAGCTCGCGCCACAGAACAAATATCCATAAAAGGAAATTGACAGACGCTGACGTTTAACAAACGTGTGTGAAGAGAAGAGGAATGGGATGTTTGTGGCGATGATCAGAGAAGCCAGGACATATGCACAGCCGTGGCAGAACTGTGGCTAACAGCTCAGATTATTAATAGCTTTTACCACAGCGCCGCTTCCACATCACAGTAAGAAAACAGAAAATTCAAACTCACGCTGTTGACAAAGGTTTTCTAGCGATTGTTTTGAAGGGATTCTGTGTGTTTTGCATATTTCATACTTGTGACATAGCAGTTGGGCTAATGCTCGGAGCAGGTCAGAACATCTGGAGGCCTGTGTTGCAGATTCTGCCTCATTCGCATTACTGTTGGTGTGAAGAAAGTTACTGTTGACTAAGTTGTATTCAACTTGACATTCAAAAACATGGTGGAGGTAAATTTGTTATTGGTGAACGTGTTTTTTTCATTTGGAGCAACTGTGAAAAACACACACCTTTAAGGAACACTTTGGTGATGTCATACTCGGTCAGTCCACTCCTCAACATAACAATGTTTTGACTATGTGCAAAACATTATCCATCAGCACCCACCTAGGAGTGCCACCTGCATGTGAAAGCCACCTGTCAGACCTCTGAATCTAAGCAGGGTAGGGCCTGGTTAGCACTGTGATAGGAGACCTCTGAGAACACCAGGTGCCATAGTGGGGTAGCTGTAAAGTGCCAAAATGCTGTTGTGTACTTAGCCAAGACACTTCATTACCCATTGCCTAAAAGGAGTGTGAGTGAATGGTTGGTTGGTGGTGGTCGTAGGGGCCAATGGCACGGACTGGTTGCCTCGCTTCTGTCAGTGTACCACAGGGCAGCCGTGACTACAGTTGTAGTTTATCACCTAAATGAATAATGCTCTGCCAAAAAAAACTATATAAAACCAATGCAGTATCAACATTATCAGCCCCCGTATGCCCATCTCCTGCTAAGTAAGGTGTCTTACTTGTGCAGGACAGAGCTACGCCTTGGCACATGTCTGCGCTATTTGTGAGAGTGCACTCTGACACCGACGTTACGTTTCCAACACAACTGCTCACGAGCCCCTTGTATGTCTGAACGGTTGCGTTGGCAGCTTTGGGAAGTCCACAGTCCAGCTGCTGACACGTAGCTCTCGACAGCTCGGGGGTCCAGTTGTTGTAACAGACCGTGCTCCATGAACTACTCTTGAAGACCTCCAAAGTTCCAGAGCAGCGGTCTGTGCTGTGAGAGAATCTCACTGGGTCTGAGGGAGAGACACAGAAGCTAAATCAGCAGATGAAGATGTAAAAAAAAAGTATAGATCCTTAGATTAGTCCCACAGTGAAGGGTCTTGGGCACGCCAGGGCCGCAGCATGGACCAGAGCAGAACTGGAGCAGGGACTGGGGGAGAACAGGAGCTAAACAATCTGAACTGAACCATTAGTGCTTGTGAAATTTCTGTCGCCAGTACAGGAGGTGCATGCCAAACATGTTTTTAGTGGTAGGGGAAACCGGAGAACCCGGAGGAAACCTACACAGAGACAGGGGAGAACATGCAAACTTCTCTCAGAAAGGCCCTGTTTCGACCGGGGTTCGAACCCAGGACCTCCTTGCTGAGAAGCGAGAGTTCTATTGACCCAGCCACTGTGCCGCCCATAAGTGTTCTTATATTTGACCCGAGTGCAATTATTGCTCCAGTTTATTATTGTACTACCCTTAAATTTTCTTTTATATTATCTTAAAAATGCCTCCTTTTATTCTGTTGTAATCTTTGCAACACTGACATTTCCCCACCGAGGGACAAATAAAGGTTCTCCTAAATCTAATCTGATCGTATCTAACCCTAGCTTTGAACAACCACACATAAATACGTTACCTGAGCATACCACTGACACGTCCTCGGAGTGGTCGCAGTTGTGGTTTCCCATGGCGTTGTGCTGACAAGACAGGATGGAGGATTCGTTGCCTTTGCACTTGACGTCATCCAACCAGATTTCCCCCGTGGCCCGACCCGCTCCACTTCTGGTGGAGTCAGTGGCGGGTCCACAGGCCAGCTCGCGGCACACCACCACAGAGTTCAACTTGTTCCACATGTCGTTACACACGGTTCCCCACTGGCCGTTATGGAGCACCTCCAGTCTGCCCGAGCACTTGGCGGGCCACAGGCGGACATTTTGACACGCTACAACAGAGAAGATTAATAAACATTTGTCTATGTATTGTTTAGATGAGTTCAAGAGTGAAAATTGTAAATAGAGTTGGCTATGGAACACACATAATGTTGTCACTAAGGAACATAGATTAAGCATAATTTTTGTTCATTTGGTCCCTTAAGCATGATGTTGTGGCTCTTTACTTTGTCACTCAAGCTGCCCCCTCATATCCTCACCATAAATGTTGGTCTTTGTAAATCTAGGATGAAAACTATATTCAGACTGTGTGTCTGTATGTCTGTTTGTGTACCTGTCCGTGTGTCTGTCTGTCTCTTTGTGTGTCTGTCTGTGTCTGTCTGTCTGCCTGTGTATCTGTCTGTGTGTCTTTTTGTCTCTCTGTGTGTCTGTTGTGTGTGTGTGTCTGTCTGCCAGTGTGTTTGTCTGTGTGTATCTGTCTGCCTGTTTGTGTCTTTCAGTTCTGTGTGTCTGTCTTTCTCTCTGTGTGTCTGTCTGGCATGTTTGTTTGTATGTCTGTCTATTAGTGTGTGTGTCTGTCTGTCTGTTTGTTCTGTGTGTGTGTGTGTGTGTGTGTGTGTGTGTGTGTGTGTGTGTGTGTGTGTGTGTGTGTGTGTGTGTGTGTGTGTGTGTGTGTGTGTGTGTGTGTGTGTGTGTGTGCGTGTGTGCGTGCGTGTGTGTGTGTGTGTGTGTGTGTGTGTATATAAATTAAATGTGATGTTGTAAATACATATTTGACACAGTTACCTGCAGCCGGCAAACTCAGCAAACCTACAGCAGAAAGATCACAGTCAGTGCTCTCATCGCCACAAACAGTGCCATGCCACAATGTTTACACGATGATAAATAATAATGTGTTCACAATTACACAGAGAGAACTAAACTCTAGTCCAGAACTGTTCAACTTGCTCTTCAAAAGGTTGAAGTGACTGCAGGTTTTCATTCCAACCGAGCAGGAGCAGACCAGACTCCACCCATTTCCTCAAGTCTTCAGACTCTAGATCATGTATAGACTGGACGAGTCTTTTTTTTAATGAGTATTTTTTCCGCAATGTTAGCTTCACAGCAAAACAAGGGCAGACGTGTTGCTAGGATGGTTGCTAATATAATATATAATATAAGGCAAGCTGGAGTTTCCCCCATGAATGAAGGCATCTGACCAGATCAAAATGTATAGTTATAGTTAGTTATATATTATAATATATGGGGCGACCGTAGCTAAGTTGGAAGAGCATTGACCTTTGGGCCTGAAGGTCGTGGGTCTGATCCCCCACGAGACCTACTTCAACTGCTCCCACCGATGTCTGCTGCCGTTGTGGCAAGACACTTAACCCTACATTGCCTGAAGCCCCAGCTGAAACACCAAGGCTCTGTCACCGCTCACGGAACAGCCATCTTCCTGTGGATTCACCACCTGCCGGAGGTTCAGCGAGGGACTGGTGCTATTGGGTGGCAGCTCTCATTGTCACCCCCCAACCCAGAAAATGGACTAATAAAGGGGATGAAAATGAATGAGTGAATGAAGATCAAAATAAAAACCCCAGGATCACAGGGACTGCTAAACCATGCATTATTTTATCCCAAAATAGTGAGTGTGACACAAATGGTTAGATAGATGGATAGATAGCCACGACTCCGTGAAGATGATCAAGTTCGCGGACGACACCACCCTCATTTGACTCATCTCCAACAACGATGAGTCCGCTTACAGGAGGGAGGTGGACCGGTTGGTGTCCTGATGCAGTGGTAACAACCTGGAGCTGAACGCCCAGAAGACAGTGGAGATGATTGTGGACTTCAGGAAGAGCACTGTCCCCCCCGCCCCCACCCTCCGTGATGGACTCCCCCATCACCTCTGTGGAGTCCTTCCGTTTCCTGGGCACCACCGTCACCCAGGACCTCAAGTGGGAGCCGACCATCAGCTCATCAAGAAGGCCCAGCAGAGGATGTACTTCCTGCGGCAGCTCAGGAAAGCCAAGCTGCCTGCACAGATGTTGGTGCAGTTCTACACGGCCATCATCGAGTCCATCCTCACCTCCTCCGTTACCGTGTGGTTCGCTGGAGCCACAGTCAGGGACAAACAGAGACTGCAGCGCATTGTGCGCTCTGCAGAGGAAGTGATCGGCCGCAGCCTTCCATCGCTGCAGGACCTGTACGTCGCCCGAGCTCGAGGCCGGGCTGGTCGTATCACAGCCGACCCCTCTCACCCTGCACAAAGACTATTCCAACCACTCCCCTCAGGCAGGAGGCTGCGGTCCATCAGGACTAGAACCTCCCGCCACAAGAACAGTTTCTTCCCCTCTGCTGTTGGACTCTTGAACACTTCTTAACCTGTCCCCCCGCCCTTTATAAAGTCACTTTACTGCCCATCATACGTCACTTTACTTCACTGTACTGCTATCACCTTACATGGTGTGCACCATGTGCACTTGTATATTGTAAATAGTAACTCTATCTTAAATTTAAATGTATTCTTTAGAAGTGTTTTCTTATTCTTATTTTTATTATATCTTTTTGACTGTTGCACTGAGCCAAGCAATTTCCAAGTCTGTGACCTCCTGTTACTTACGTGGCAATAAAAATGATTCTGATTCTGATTCTGAGATAGATGCTTCATTGATCTTTATGGATAAGTACACACATTTTATACATTTCTAACTAACTAACTACCAACAATTGTGCATATTTGTAACTCATACAGGTCTGTTGTACAGTCTGACAGCCGAAGGAACAAAGGATCTCTTAAAACGTTCCGTTCGGCAGCGCAGTGATAGGAGTCTGTTGCTTCGGTTACTCCTCTGAGCGGCCATAGTGTCATGCAGAGGGTGTCTGGAATTACCCAGGATGCCCTGCATTAGAGCCCTCATCCTTCTCTCCAGCACAGCTCCCACAGAGTCCACACTTCTCCCCATCACACATTTCCTGATCAGCCTGTCGAGCCGGTTACTGTCTCTTGAGGTCAGACTGCCCCCAACATGCAACTCCAAAGAAAACGGCAATAGCTTCAACAGACTGGTAAAAAACGTGCAACATTTGACTGCTCACATTAAAGGACCTCAGTCTTCTCAGGAAGAAAAGTCTGCTCTGACCTTTCTTATAAACAGCATTGGCTTGAGCTTGTCAGGGCTGCCCCTCCCTCCCCTGATACTCCAGGAGTCTCTGCCTCATCCCCCTCCCCTACCTGTTCCCTGAGCAGGGACAGGTGTGTTGGAGCTGCCTCGGACTCTGCCCAGCTGCCTCCACTCTTCAATCAAGCCGATACAAGTACCTCTGAAGCCAGCTCCTCAGTGCCAGATCGTAATCTCAGTTGCAGTGCGTCTAGCCTACTTACCTCGTTACTCTGTGAAGTTAATTTTTACTTTCCTTTTTTAGTTTTTGCTGCAGATCTCCGCTCTGCCACGCCCGGCCCTACTCCTGATCCTGTTCTGGTTCCCCCCTGTGCCTTGTGATTTATTTTTGTATTTTTGCTCAAGTAAAGATTTTGTTTCACCACCCTGGTCTGAATCTGGGTTCTTTGCCACACGTTACAGAGCTGACCAGTTCAGTCTGTGGTTCAGGTGACCAGTACTGTGATCGGTCCATGGAAGGGGCTCTCGTGAAAGTCATCTCCTTGGTTTTGGACGCATTGAGAATAAGACCATTACTCTCACTCCAGTCTGAGAAGGCAGCCACCACCTTCCTGTACTTTGTTACTGTTACTGAGCAAGAGGAGTTTCATTTTGAATGTAAGTCAACAGGAGCCAGAGCGAGTTAGAGCAGAACTTTGCCCATGAGCACTTCCCTATTGGGCTTCATTGAGCTAGCAGCTAGCATTATTTACGGTCTATGATTTAGACCAAAGAATGTATCTATATTCAGACTGATGGTATGTTCCTGCTTGGTTGGAATGAAAACCTGCAGCCACACAGGCCCTTTGAGGACACAGTTGAATAGTTCTGCTCTATACTCTCAAAATCCAAAACTAAAATCAGACATTAAGTGGATCGCTCACATATGAACCAGACCAATGGCCGCCTTCCAGATGCAAACACTTTCATGTTGGCTTCACTTTTGGTGCCTGTTTGGAAGCACAAGAGGGATATAGTTAGACTCACATCCCACACAAATCAAATGGTAAAAGACAGATATTATTAAAGTCCTTTGCAAACGATTGTATATTGTCTTATTTTCCAATTTTTACATCATAATCCATCCATCCATCCATTTTCTTCCGCTTTATCCGTTGCCGGGTCGCGGGGGCAGCAGTCTAAGCAGAGACGCCCAGACTTCCCTATCCACACACACTTCCTCCAGCTCGTCCGGGGGGACCCCAAGGCGCTCCCAGGCCAGCTGAGAGACATGGTCTCTCCAGCGTGTCCTGGGTCTTCCCCGGGGCCTCCTCCCGGTGGGACGTGCCCGGAACACCTCCCCAGGGAGGCGTCCAGGAGGCATCCTAAACAGATGCCCGAGCCACCTCAACTGGTTCCTCTTGACGTGGAGAAGCAGCGGCTCTACTCCGAGCTCCTCCCGTGTGACTGAGCTCCTCACCCTATCTCTAAGGGAGCGCCCAGCCACTCTGCGGAGGAAGTTCATTTCGACCGCTTGTATCCGCGATCTCGTTCTTTCGGTCATTACCCAAAGCTCATGACCATAGGTGAGGGAGGGAACGAAGATTTTTACATCATAATCTACATGCTATTTTCTTTCAAATTGACTATAGTTGTGTTATGATTGTAGAAATAGTTCTGTAGTACTGTAGTTGTCAAATCAGCTCAAATTGATATCTGTCTGTTACTCTACTCTTTTCGGGGTTTTTTTCTTTGCGGTGCACTTGTCCCTTTATCCCGAGCAAAAAATGGGTTGGAGGCTATTATGCATTTTATTTATTTCAAACCTGCACAAACATATTTTTACATCACACATTCTTACACATACAACAGTGCATTACAAACCAAACAGTAATACAATACAACCACCGATGGAATAAGACAGACAACACAAAACACACACACTCTGACAACACACTGGCCCAAACACTGTCCGACCCTACACCTCTCTCCCACTACTTGCTCTGTGCTCAAGGCATTTCTCTTTCTTCCACATATTTCTTAAATGTATATATTACTAAACATTCTTTTAAATGTAATCTGGTTTGAGCAGATTTAATTTATCTGATAGATTATTCCAAACTGCAGCTCCTCGCACTGAGACACAAATTGATTATAAATAGTCCTACATTTAGGCACATACACTTATTTACTGCCTCTAAGTCTGTAGTTATGATGAGCATCTTTATCATGGAATAACATGAACACTATTGGAGCAGTTATAAATGAAAAATGTCTATGATGGACATTTGTTACAATACAAATGGCCTTTTTTTTGGGTAATCTCACTTAAAGACTTTATGTAAGATTTATAGCGGTTTTCACAAATTAATGTCATAATTTAAATATGACATTATGAAAGAACGATACAATAACAGTAGAGTATTTCTGTTCAGTAAGTAAGTAAGTCATGTTTATTTATATTGCACATTTTACAGACCAAGGTCACCTAAAGCGCTTTTCCATTGTTCAGAGTTCAGATAGTTATTAGTTACTTGCTCTTCTCATCATTCCAACACATTTAGCAACCTTTGTCCTCAGGTAACTAATGTGGGGTTTCCAGGACATCTTTTTTCTACTATAACTCCTAGAAAATGTTGACTAACTTTTTCTATTGGGGTATCATCAATAAGCATTGTGCATTACATTTACTAAAAAGCATAACTTTTATATATTTTTATTTAGTCATAATCTATTATTGTTGAAAAAATATAAAATATAATATTTGTATCATCTGCAAACAATATACATTTCATTACTTTTGATACTTGGACCATGTCATTTATGTACGTTATGAATAATGTGGGTCCCAGTATTGACCCTTGTGGTACTCCACATGTTATGTTCAGACATTCTGATGTGTGTCGATCGAACTGGACAGTCTGTTGTCTCATAAATAGCTCTTTAACCATTCTTTTGCTGGTCCCCTTATGCCATAGTTGTCCAATTTACTTATTAAGTCATTGTGGTCAATGGTATCAAATGGTTTCTGGAGATCAATAAAAAAATCCTAATACAAATTTTTTTTTTTTTCAATACCATTAGAAATTTCAATTGGTGGTGATATTGATCTATTTTGCCTAAACCCGTATTGACTATCAGACAATATTTTTTGTTTTTCAATAAAGCCCTGGAGTCTTGTGACAAATACTTTTTCCAGTATTTTGGAGAACTGAGGAAGAAGGAACACAGGTCTATAGTTGTTGAAACAGTTTTTGTCTCCCAATTTGAAAAGTGGGATAACCTTTGCCATTTTCATTTTGGAGGGGAAGTGAAAAAGAACCTACATAAATAAACAGGTGTGCTTTGGTTTCCCTGCAGGCATAATTAAAGTCTAACCTGTTATCTGGGGTCACATATAAAATATGTAGATTTAAAACAATTTTATTACATACTGTCCCTTTAAAAACACTTCACAACTATAAAAACACTCTTAAAGCAAAACAGACACTGTCAAAATCCCAGGTCACAGAACGATATAAAGAATCTCCCACACAACCTCACGGTGCTATTAAATCTTTGAAGAGCAGATACTATTATACTACTTTCGGCTTAGCTAAGCAAGGCAAGGCAAGTTTATTTACAAGGGAACTAACAAAACAAGGTGAAAATAATCACACAAGGCATTCAAATCATAAATAATCACAGCAAATCAGCAATCACTTGCAAAACTACTTGGCTTTACAATTATTTTTAAGGTTTTAAAACTTTGAACTTTGCATGCATAAGATTCAAAATGTATTGTCCACAATACATTTTGAATCTTACTATGCATGCAAAGTTCAAAGTTATTTCCATTCAAGTTGAACATGGTTGTGATGTGGAAATAGTCTTGTGGCTGTCTTGTGGCTCAAAGTCTTGTGGCTCAAATTGATATCTGCCTGCAATTCAAGTCCTTTTGTATCGTTTTTTTTTTTTTGCAGTGCACTTGTTCCATTGTCTGTTGCAGCGGTCAGAAAATCTCATTGCTGATAATGACACTGATCGTACTTACAGATGGAGTGGGTAAACCTCAGCTCTTCCCTCAATCCTGTCTGTCACACAATAAACGCTGGGAGTCCTAGATTAGGGTCACTTCCCTTTAGTGTCTGTCACATGCTGAGGAAAGAAATTCTTCCTCTGTTGAGGAAAAAAAAGAGGAACATTTGTACAGCAGTCGCACACATCGGCTCAAACTTGTACTCCGAATACACAGGCTCAGGGACTGATCAAAACAAACATATATTTTAACATTCAAATGATAATCAGAAACATGGGATGTGGCTTTATGATGAAGGGTTTTTCTGAGTGGAGTTTGCATGTTCTCCCGTGTCTGCCTATGGTTTCCTCCTGTTGCTCCGGTTTCCTCCTGGTGCTTTGGTTTCCTCCTGGTGCTTTGGTTTCCTCATGGTAATCCAGTTTCTTCATGGTACTCCGGTTTCCTCCTGGTACTCCGGTTTCCTCCTGGTGCTCCGGTTACCTCCTGGTGCTTCAGTTTCCCCTTGGTAATCTGGTATCCTTTTGGTGCCAGATTAAGAATCATGAATAATTTACACACAAAAATAACATAGATTTAAAAAATTATATGAATCTATATTTCTAAATAGCACAAACAATGGGCCTCCTTCACGAACTGTTCTTAAGAACAAATTTGTTCTTAATAGATATGTCTGTCATATTGATGTATGTATTTATTCATGTCATTTTTTGTGGTAATTTACTAATGTGCAAACACTTTATCAAATGGAAATCATGCCGTCAATTAGTGACCCCATCCTCTTTATAGGGTGCATTTCCCCATCCACCTGCCACAGAAGTAAGTAATTAGTACGTAATCTTTATTTATATACCGCCTTTTCACTGCACATCGGAGTCTCAAAGCGGTTTACAATTGTTATTTTTGGGAGTGGAGGTGCCAGTACAGGAGGCACATGCCAGACCTATTGTGCATATTTTAAGTGGTAGGGGAAACCAGAGCACCCGGAGGAAACCTACGCAGGCACGGGGAGAACATGCAAACTCCACTCAGAAAGGCCCTGGTCCAACCGAGATTCGAACCCAGTACCTTCTTGCTGAGAGGCGAGAGTGCTATCCACTCAGCCACCGTGCCGCCCAGAACAGTGGCATACAAACTGCTGCTGCAGGAGGTCTGCTTTGATCTCGTCGGGTAGGACTATGGTCTCTCCTTGGGTCGGGATTAATCTCATAATAGTATTTTGAGATGAATCAAACTGCTAGTTTGACTTTATTCTCATAATATTTCAACTTTAAAGTCAAGATATTATGACGTTAATCTCAGTTTGGATCTACAATTTCAGTCTTGGGTCTACAGCCTCAGTCCAGGATCTACAGCCTCAGTCCAGGATCTACAGCCTCAGTCCTGGATCTACAGCCTCAGTCCTGGATCTACAGCCTCAGTCCTGGATCTACAGCCTCAGTCCTGGATCTACAGCCTCAGTCCTGGATCTAGAGCCTCAGTCCAGGATCTACAGCCTCAGTCCCAGGTCTACAGCCTCAGTCCAGGATCTACAGCCTCAGTCCCAGGTCTACAGCCTCAGTCCCAGGTCTACAGCCTCAGTCCTGGATGTACAGCCTCAGTCCTGGTAAGTAATCTTTATGTATATAGCGCATTTTTACAGACCAAGGTCACCCAAAGCGCTTATGGGAGCATGTTTAGAGCTGTATAGAGTTCACGTGAGCCTTGTGCTGTGTAGAAGTCAGCGGGAGAGGCAGTTACTGTATGGCCCGAGTTTCCCAATGCTCTGCTCGCCCAACTGCCTGAGTGTAAAAGAGCTGATGTGCAGGATGTGAGTGACTCATATCCTGTCTTTCACGCAGTGAAGTTGCTGATACAAAAGTAAATGTTACAAATCACAAAACCACAAAACCGGAAAGATCACACTATATTGCATAAAACCAACATTGTCTTATTGTTGGTGCATTAACTGGAAAGCTTTGATCCATAAACATTAAAGCTACATAAGTGAATTACAGAAAATATCAAATTGATTATGACATATTAGTGGCATATGAAGAACACAGGGACTGGTCTTCAGCTGGGACTCTGAGGAGCACTGGGACGGGCCTCCTGCTGGGACTCTGAGGAGCACTGGGACGGGCCTCCTGCTGGTGCCCAGAGTCAGGATTAAACATGGGAAGGTAGAGGAACAGATTCATGCATCTTAGATCTGGAACAGTCTTCTTGAAAATGTGAGCCAGGCTTCTATTCTGACAATGTTGAAATCCAGGTTACGAACAGTTCTCTGTACCTGCAACAACTGACTTTTTTTTCTGATAGAAATTATTAACTTATTGACTAAATGTATTCTGTTTTGGCCAGAATGCATCATGGAAATGTATTTGGCTTCATCGAGCTAGTACGTTTGCATTGTCCGTCTATAAACAGTCTACTGTATAAGAACCACATGGAGCAGCCATCTCATGTTTTCTAAAAGTTTTCACATTCTAAAAACATGAAATGCCAATGTAAATATTCAATAACAGATAGATAGATAGATATACTTTTTTGATCCCCGTTGGAGAAATTCAGGTGTCCAGTAGCAGCAAAAATAAAAGCTGAAAAGCTAACAATAGTAATAATCAGCAACAGCCCTTCAGGTCACAGCAGCAGAGGTGGAGTAACCTCTGGGTGGAGCAGGGCAGGTCACAAGGTTGAGTAGCCGCTTTGTTCGGACCATTTTCTCTGCTTTAGTCCAAAATGCTAAATGCTTCATTAGCATTTTTCAAAAAGTTAACATTCCTCCAGTGTATTTTTGCCTGATCCACTTGGTTCAGACCATGAATCCTCTGCTCCGGTCTGGATCGGTGTAAAACCATGAACACTGTACTGCAGCAACATCTCAGGTAGAAAAAAAGAAGAAAAATGACATTTATAAAGTACAAAACAACAACTAGGACCATGCTGCCGTTTTCCAGCGCATTCAAAAGTAAACAGAATATATGATGAATCATGTCTGTAGCATGAGTTAACATATGTGCATAGGTTATCTGTGACATCACTGGGCCATAGAGGGAGAAGCGAGGTCCCTGATGTTCGACAAGGCCTACTTGTGTGATTACCTCGGGTTATAGCCGCGTCCACGTCGACAGGAGCGCCCCATCCTCAGCCATAAACATGCTTTATCGCCGGGAAGAGAGGGAGGGACCATATTGCAGCCGTTACAGCCACACATCCAATTACTATGAGCCGGTTTTATTATGTTAAAGAAGAAATATTACGCATTGTCCCTCAGCAATGATAATGAGATTTTTACTTTGTCATGTTATGTTTTAGAAATAATATCTTAGGGTAGAAAGTAATGGTGAAACAAGTGTGAAGGGTAAAAAATGCTGTGTCTCTATTTTACCACCACAAGCCAATTTTGTTTTGTTTTTTCTAATTTTGCATATTACTGCCTGCAAACACAGTCATACCACATACGACAATGACATCAGACTCAAACACGACTGAAACGGAAGCTTTTAGTCAGAAGGAGTGGCGCTACATGTCACTTGGACAAAGATCTTCAGTTGGTCTTGTGTGTACGTTGGAAGATTGTGTCCGTTCGAGCAGTTCATTATGATCTCCGTCATGAGTCCTGGAGAGGGGACTGCTGCCTGTGAGTGCTGAGGGCTCCATCCACACCAGATTAGACCTTTGATGATAACACGCTCTGATGGATACGTCACACTAATGTAACACGCTGCTGTCTCACACGTTGAATAATTCAATTCAGTTAAATGTATTTTCTCATAGCCTTAACTCACAACAGTAGTTATTTTAGACAATGTTACTAAACTGTTGATTCGCCAACACAGATCAGAGAATCAAACAGTTCAAACCCAAGAAATGCAATGATAAAAAACACAGAGTCGTTGGTTCATAAGGGGCGGTTGATAAAAACCACAAAAGTTGCTGTATGTCAAGTGTTCTGGATCATCACCCCTGCCCTTAGCATCTCTACATTGGAAAGGAAAACCCCATTGGGATAAAATGAGAAACCTTGGGGAGGCTCACATTGAGAGAGGGATCTGCTCCCTCAATGTAAATTCAGGACTCTGGCCGTAGAACATGAGCCGAGACCACACAGAGCAGGACTGAGGCAGCTCCCCAGGGGACTTCTTGGACTCATGGGCTGCACAGGCAGGGGGAGGTAGTCCACTGGTGCAGATGGGGGCCAGGTTAGATAAAGGGGTAATGGGTGAATAGCAATGAACAGACTACAGCTGAAGTCATAATGCTTACAGATAATGTAGGAAGAGGAGAAATAGTGCTCAGGGACTATACTTCTCCCAGCAAAGTGACTCTCTATGCAGCTTGATTGACAATCAACGTGTTTTTAGACTGAAGGTTGTACTTTGAAGTCTTACCTGAGTGTTACCTGCCTAACTATATGCTACATTAAAGGGACTGTTTTGGCATTTAACCTATGCCCTGACAAAGACACTATGTTTCGAGACGCGATGGCTCGTCCCGAGAGAAGTAATGAAGGACTTTTATTGCATTAAGTGCTTCAGACCTCGTGCCACAGACAGTGAGATGACGACTGTGTATAAATAATAATAAATGTCAGTAAATGTCCCGGGTCAGAATCAGAATCAGAATCAGAAGAATCAGAATATTTTTTATAGCCACGTAAGTAACAGACTTGGAAATTGCTTTGACTCAGTGCAACAGTCAGAAAGAAATAATTAAAAATAAAGAATAAAAAACACTTCTAAGGAATAAATTTAAATTAGAAATAGAGTTACAGTTACTATTTACAATATACAAGTGCACATGGTGCACATAATGTAAGGTGACAGCAGTACAGTGAAGTAAAGTGACGTATGATGGGCAGTAAAGTGACTTTATAAAGGGCGGGGGGACAGGTTAAGAAGTGTTCAAGAGTCCAACAACAGAGGGGAAGAAACTGTTCTTGTGGCGGGAGGTTCTACTCCTGACGGACCGCAGTCTCCTGCCTGAGGGGAGTGGTTGGAATAGTCCATGTGCAGGGTGAGAGGGGTCGGCTGTGATACGACCAGCCCGGCCTCGAGCTCGGGCGACATACAGGTC